AGCTCATGCCTCCTGCTTCAGTGACTCCATCCAGCCACCTCCTTCTTTGTTGTCCCCTTCTTCTATTGCCCTCCATGTTTCCCAGCATTAGGCTCTTCTCCAGGGAGTCCTTCCTTCTCATTAGGTGGCCAAAGTACTTGAGTGTCAACTTCAGGATCTGGCCTTCTAAAGAGCAGTCAGGGTTGATCTCCTCTAGGACTGACCGGTTTGATCACCTTGCAGTGCAGGGGACTCGCAGGAGTCTTCTCCAGCACCATAGTTCAAAGGCCTCCATTCTTTGGTGCTCAGCCTTTCTTATGGTCCAACTTTCATAGCCATACATTGCAACTGGGAAAACCATACGCACTTTTGTTGGCAAAACTTGAGTCAACCAACGGTCAAATCTAAATTGGCTCTAGATAAAGATCAACGGTATTCAAGGGGTCTGGGCTTGGGTCCCTTGTGGCAATGCAATGATTCAAAACTGATGACCCGTTTAACTCCACCTTCTAGCTCAGTCTGCTCTTCTCCTACTATCTTTTCTTGAAAACCTCCCGAGATGGAGCACCCACAACTCCAAGAGGCATGCTGTTCCATGGATTAATCGCTCTCACTGTCAGGAAATGCCCTCCTTATTTCTAGGTCGGATCTCTCTTTAATGAACTTCCACCCATCGCTTCTTGTCCTGTTTTTGGAGTGCTTTGGAGAATAAGTCAAACCCCACTTCTCTGTGACTGCCCTTCAAGGATTGGAAGAGGCTATCAAGTCACCCCAAAGTGCTTCTCTTCATTAGGCTAAACATGCCCAGTTCCCTTATCCACAGGCTTCATCCTGTACCACAGTGGAGGGAGAAGGGAGGATAAAATGGATGGGGAAAGCGAGGAAAGAATGAAGTGGGAGCCTGTAAGTTTATCCAACGTTTCATTTCTGGCAGTGGTTCTCTGCTTATGACATCAGCTCTGCTATTTCCAATCCCTGGGGGGGGGGAAGAGGGGGGAACCAGGAGGAGGGGAAAAAATAAACTTGGAAACTAGGCCAAGATAGGATGATATTTCTTTGGAGTTTCTGCAGGGTGCCCTGGTTTGAGGCTCAGTTTGTTTGGAGAAAAAAGGCTGGCGGGCCAGCTGTCCCCCAGCTGTGACTTGAAAATCGGTAGCCCATCCACCAACCTTCCCATCACGAGCTTGCTTTTTGAGCCTTCCCCAATCTCCTCCTCGACTTGGCTGGGCTGGCCTCCTTCCTGCAGGCTTTGAGCTGAGAATTGGAAGCAGCAGGGGAAAAATAAATTAAACCACGGTCAGAGTTTAAAGATACAAAATCCTCCCTTTGATAGGCCTGGCTTTTCCACGATGTGATGGCCTGCAAGGGGCTGGATGGCTTTGGTGGATATGGACCTCCGGGCTTCAGGGCTTGACCTCTGGGTCTTCCTCCACATTCTGGGGGGGGGGGACATTTATTTTTTTAAAGGCTGATATGGTTGATTTAAGCCAAGAAAGGCTCAGTATGTGCATCGGGCTTGGTTTTCTCTTCCCTCGATATATAAACAACCCAATAAAATTGCATCACTCAGATTTCTGCAGTCAGCCAAGCAACTTCAGCACTCCAGGGATCTGTGAAAAGAAGGGGCTGAGCAAGAACCCCCCCTTTTCCCTAAGTGTGGAAAATAGGCTAAGATAGATTTACTATTTATACATACCTTCCTATCCGCCTGTCACCGAGAGGCCAAACTCAGGGGAATTTCCCAAAGGCAAATTAAAAGCTGTGGACCCTTGAAAGTGTTGATATAGTTAGTTTTGCTCAGGATGATGGGACGTTTCAGAAAGTTGAGCGGGATGTGGAAACAGTGAGGCTTCTGGTCCGTCCTCAATGCTCTTGCAAGAATCTTTAAGGCTGTTGAGTCAATCATTTAAATCCCCTTCAAGTTATAGTGGCTGATCCCTTAGCCGATCTCTCATTCTTTGTTGCAGAGAAGAGCAACAAGGCTGATGAGGAGTCTGGAGGCTAAAACCTATGAAGAATGGCTACAGGAACTGGGCACGGCTAGTCAAGTGGAGGACCAGGGGAGACATGATGATAGCAGTGGTCCAGTATTTGAGGGGCTGTCCCAGAGAGGAGGGGGTCAACCTTTTTTCCAAAGCACTTGAGGGCCAGACAAGGAACAATGGATGGAAACTGATCAAGGAGAGATTAAACCTATAAATTTCCTGACAGTGAGAACAATCAACCAGTGGAACAGAAGCTGCCTTCAGAAGTTGTGGGAGTTCATCACTGGAAGCTTTCAAAAAGAGAATGTTGGTTATCACCTTCAAAGCCCTTCATGGCATAGGGCCAGGTTACTTACAGGACCGCATTCTGCCGCACAGCTCCCAGAGACCGGTGAGGTCCCATAGATTGGGCCTACTTCGGGTCCCGTCGGCCAGACAATGTCGGCTGGCGGGCCCCCGGGGAAGGGCCTTTTCTGTGGTGGCTCCGACCTGGTGGAATCAACTTCCCCCCGAGGTGCGAACTACTCCCACCCTGCCGGCCTTTAAGAAAGCCGTTAAAACTCTCCTATTCCGGCAGGCCTGGGGTTGATGTCCCCGGGGGGGGGGGGGGATATGATCGGACTCGCGGTATGACTGGATTATTTTATTGGATTATTTTATTGTTTTACGACTGTTTTTTAATTTTGTACGCCGCCCTGAGTCCTTTGGGATTGGGCGGCATATAAATATTTGTAAATAAATAAATAAATAAATAAATAATGGACTGCCATCTGTCAGAAATGGTATAGGCTCTCCTGCTTGGGCTGGGGGGGGTTGGACTAGAACAGTGGTTCTTAACCTGGACGACATTGCCCCCCAGGGGGCGATTTCATTTTTCAGGGGGGCGAAGGAACGAAAAGGGGGCGATATGGGGGCGATGGAGCGAGAAGTTTTGGGGACACTTTTGAGACTTTTTCGTACAGTGAATCGCTGTATATCTGTCGTACAAAAACATCAGTTTGCTTGCTATTAGTGGACTGAATTGTGTTTTCAAATGTTCCTCCAGCTAGCTTCAGTACAGAACGCCGTACATATGTGAAGACGCATCGCTTATCTTCATGTGCATTGTGCAGCAGCCTCTACCCATACAGTGGCGCGCCATTGGCCAGAATATGGGAGATATGGGAAAAAGACTGGAAGTAAATTATTTGCATTGATATGTCCTGATGACAATTTTAAAGAAAACAAAAAATGTGTTTGCATAAATTGAAGAATTATTTCCTATGTGGTGATTGAGAGGTGATGTTGGGGGAGGGGGGCGATGACAACTTCCTCATTAGCTCAAGGGGGCGATTCGTTCAAAAAGGTTAAGAGCCATTGGACTAGACGACCTACAAGGTCCCTTCCAACTCTGCTATTCTATTCTAAATGTATCCTTAAGGTGGAATCTTGGGATTCCATCCAAGGAACAAGTGGAACACCTGGTTGTAGTATTTCTCTCCTGTGTGATCAGGCCCTGTCCATCTTAAGGTGCTTCCAGACACCGAAAAACCTAGGTAGATTACCTCCAAACCCAAGACCAGATGAGGCACAAAAATCACATTGACTGAGGTGCCCAAATCAAAACTGGAGTAGTCTCTCCACCATTTCTATTCTCAGCATCCTACCATCAAAGGACACTTAGACAGGTTCTTGAAGCCTACAGAAACACAGTACGTCTTGGGACTATGGACTATAGACTTGAGATCTGGTTTCACTTCCTCTAGATCTGATTTATTGCTCCATCTTATTTCAATTTCCAGCACTTGGCTCATTCTAAACCTCTGTGCTGAGCCCACCCTTGGCAAAAGTGATAATGTTACTTAGTTTGGGTACTGGAACGTCTGCAAGGAAACAAGCAAGCTCAGAGAGCACCAAGGACCCCTCTTGGCAAAACTACTGATTACATTTGGCTGCATCAGGTGTCCTCCCTGCAAAAGAAACATGACAGCCTCACAAGCACTTGATTGGCTATTACTTCTGTTCAATGAGCTCTTATTTAGTGAGGAGAATGTGGTTGAAGATCTGGATTAGCTCTACTAGTCATTACATCTTATCAGTTTGAAGCCTGGCCTGTTTCACTCCTAAAATATAAAGAAGGACAGTCAACCCATCCTTTCCTATGTTCCCTTACTCATACCTGTTGTCTCAAAGTTCTTTTTGTGTTGCATTTTGTGTGTGTGTGTCCATCTCAGCTTCCTTGCCTAGCTGAGTACTACGTGCTTTGAAGTTGCAGCATGTTCAACTCCCGTCCAGGACATTGGCAAGCAAAGTCTAGGAGAAGTCCCACAGGGGCCTTTTCAGGAATGAAGTTAAACAGATTTTGGATTGGACACTTTGGAGCCGACAAGGCAGAAAGAAGAGAAAGATTACTGGGATCCTTCAACAGGAAACAGCCCCAAAGCATAAGAAAATATTGTGGGTAAGCTGACACTTGGGTGCACTGCAAACTGTCATCCGGGATGTTCATCTCACAGTACCTAATTGCAAGGCCAGCCTTGAGTTTAAGAAAGATGTTATTGATTGTCCGTCCCTGGTGTTGGTTTACCCTTTCCCTGTCCTTGAACTAGATCCAACTAGAAATCGAACCCATTTGGATAAATTTACCTGCTGTTCCAAAACATAGAGAAGCAAATAAACAAGAGGAGGCCAAGGGGAGGACACTTAGGCATGTCAAGAACTTTCACGTTAGGAAAAATCAATGTCCTTTGTTGTGATGGTGAATTCGGAGTTTATCAATGACTTCTGACTAGCAATTTGCTTCTCTCATCTATGTTTTGCAGCTTTGGATAAGTCTGAAAATCTTTCTCACAGCAGTTATTCATCTCTCTCAGGGATCTCCAAACTTGGCAAACTTTAAAACTTGTGAACGTCAACTCGCAGAATGTCACAAGGAAAAGGGCGCTGATTTATTCTCCGTAGTGTCTGAGCACACGACAAAAAGTCATGGGTGAAAGCTCCACAAAGAGAGATCCAGCACAGAAATAAGGAGGAGTTTCTTGACAGAACAATTAATTAATGGAGCAGTTTTCCTCCCAGAGTTGTGGGTGCTCCGTTGCTGGAGATTTTCAAGAAAAGATTGGACAACCATTTTTCCTGGATGGTAGGGGGTTGGACTAGAAGACCTTCAAGGTCCCTTACAGCCTTATGATTCTGTTACTCTTTTGTGAATCTTTTTAAAGAGCAAGCTTTTGCAAAACAATCCCTCTAGACTGGAAAGCACGCATGTGCTCATTCCCACGTTCCCAACTAAGAAAAGAAAATAATATTTGCAGGCTGAGATGGAAAATTCATTAAAGATTCTGCGCACATTCCAAGCTCTCCAGCTTAAATCGTTGTGCATGCGATGAACTGTTTTGTTTGACTTGGAGAAGTTGTTCCTGCCCCTCTTCCTTCACCTAGCTCCTAGGAAGCATAAGAAAGCTATCCAGATTGGATAGAGTGTCTCTTTCTTTGCCTGTTTCGGAAATATTCCACCTAATTTTTCTCCCAACTTTTCTTTTCAGACTTGAGGGAGACAGTAACGCTGGAAGGCTAACTGAGGAAAACTGGCTAGTTTTAGGACCCTGTGAGCAGATTGCTTGCCGAGAGTCCTAAAACATCCCCAGCATTTTTGAGAGCTTGTTGCTTATTCATTCAGAGCAGGAGCAAAACCATCCAGCAACTGGGATCCACCAGCCTCCTTTTCAAACAGGCATTGAAGCAATGTAGCAAAACCAAAAAAAAAACCAAAAAAACAAAAAACAACCCACATACAGAAGACCAAAGTCAAGAAAAAGTTTTGAGGTTTTCTCTCTCTCTCTCTCTCTCTCTCCAGAGCCTCATTCTTTGCAGACTTTTCTCCTCCACAACCTCAAGATGAAATTTGCCGAGAACAGCTGGGGCATCTTAGCAGAAGCAAGGAATGGACAGCACTGAGATCGGCTTGCTAAGGGAAGCAGAGAAGGGAAGAAGCGACCCCTGGGCTGTTTCACGGAGGTGTTTCCCTGCTCCAACAAGCATCCACCAAGGTCAAGCCTGTTGATCCTGGCCTCCACCATGACAGCTCACGGCTTCTGGGACTTCTGGGTGTTGATGGTTTCTGGTGCCTTCCTGCTGGTCCGTGGACAATATCCACAGCAGGGCAGTGCGGACAATGGTCACTGGAGGCAGATGATCCAATGGGAGAATAACGGAAGGCTCTACAGTCTCCTGAATTCCGGCTCGGAGTATGTCCCGGCCAGCCACGTAAGAGCCGAGAGCAGCGCCAGAGTGATGTTGGCCGATGCTGCCACCAACCAAGGACAGCGAAGTGCAGGGAACACTCGGAGACAGGCGCCAACTTTACCCATCAGGTCAGGATCTGATACAGTCCGGGGACAGGCTAGGCACCCCTTCGGTTTTGGGCAGGTCCCGGACAACTGGAGAGATGGAAGCACTGGAGACAGTAACTCCAACCCCCATCGTCCATGGTCATCCACTCCTCGTCAGCGGCAGGTGGGTGCTGCGTCCTCTTCCTCTTCATACGTCGCGTTTGGGCAGCTCTACCCACAGGGCTCCTATCCTCAGCCCCCTTATGCCAACCAGTATGAATCCTACGACTCGCAGGTGCCCCGGGCGTATGACGAGAGCTACAATTACTACCGTACCACTGGGACAGGAGCCGGTGCTGTGGCTGCCGCTGCGGCCAGCGCTGGAGTGGTGTACCCTTTTCAACCCAGAGCGAGATACGAAGAGTATGCAGAGGACCAGAATCCCTACCGCGCTCAACCCTACGCCCCTGTCCAGGAGAGACCGTACGTGCCTTCTGCTCAACAGCTCCCATCTCCGGATGGCTTAGACCGACGCTATTCCCACAGCCTCTACCATGACACTGGAACGAGTTTTGACCAAAATGTCCCGGATTCCTATGCATCCACCCAGAACCAGGGCCAAGGAGTCCCTCTTGCAGATAATTTGCATCTAAACCCTGGATCGCCTTCCAGTACCGGTACCGGCTACGGGAATGAGCCCTGGGTACGGCAATATCCTCCCTTTGGGCAGGTTCCTGAAGAGCCCTACGTCCCTGCTCGCAACGTGGAACCCCAGCCCCCTTTCCGGCCCTTAGACCCCCACGGGGTTCCTCGGCCTGAACCCTACCTTCCTATCCGGAATTCTGAAACTCCCCAGTTGATTCCAGATCACCAAGGGGTCAACCAAGGCCGAATGAGTGTGGGCAGCATCTACAGACCAAATCAGAACGGACGTGGTGAGTCTTTGATTGTAGGAAGAGTGCTGGGGATGGGGGGAGGGTCTACTGTGGGGTTTCATAGAGTCCCAAAATTGGGGCAGGTTTGGTTCCTTAAGCTTCCTTTTTTGGTTAAGAGAGCCCAAGTGGGTGCTTTCAATACCAGAGCCATGATGATTATGATCAAGAGAACCATCAGCATCATTTTAGCCATTGTCCATCCCCTGCAGGATGAAGGCCTCCTCCGCTTCCTTCCAAGCATACAGTCCTGGGCTTTCTTTTGCCAACTGGGCCCACAACAGTTCCTGATGTCATTAATCCATCTTGTTTTAGGTCTCTTTCGTGGATCCTTTTGATCAAGAGGGATCCGTTCTGTGACTGCCTTGGTCCACCTGCCATCGGTTCTTCTTGCTATATGACTATCCTGTTTCCATTTCAGTTCTTTTACTCTCTTGATAATCTTGTATAGTTTTGCTTGTTCTCTCTCTTGTGCAGGTCTTTCTGTCTTACCGAGCATGTCTCTTTTCATAGCTCTTTGCGTCACTCGGAGCTTTTGTATCGATTGTGAGGTTCAGATTGTGAGGTCAAGCGAATATACTATCATATCTAGAACAGGAGGGGGTGCCAGACATCAAAACTATCTAAGACAGTGCTCCTTAGAAGATTCATCACAATCTATTAGTGGTTTCTTTCAGGTTCATGTCCACATTAGCCTCTGTGGTTTTTATCTATAACCTCTGTGTGGTCAAGCTATGGTCAACTGTGGCTTTCCAAAGCAAAACAGGAAACCATGGGTTGGAATCCTGCATGATATTGTTGAAGTTTAGTTTATCATCACAGTGGACATCTGAGCTAGTCACAATCATGATAAAGTTGAAGTCCCCCAATAGGATTCCTATAGATATCAATGTCCCCAACATCTGTAATTGCCCCCAAGAGAACACATCTTTTTCTGTGTCCTTATTTAAATCAGTTTTACATGTAATTGTCCCTCCATCTTCTCAGTTGCCATCAGTGCTTTTTTTTCTAAAAAAAAAAAAAGGTGCCGGAACTCACACACATCATACAACCTGCCTTGCCTACCTTACAAGGTTCCATTCAAAAAAGGTGCCGGAACTCCGTTCTGGGCGTCCTATGAGGAAAAAAAGCCCTGGTTGTCATAGTTGAGATTTATAACTGGGCAACCTTCCCATGGCAGACATTTTCCAAAGCCTTTCCAACCCTGTCCAACTTGTAGATGGAGTCCCTGTTAGCCCAACATTTCAGGACTGTTGGAGTAAGTAAGATTGGGTAGATCAAATTCATACTGTGGGCCATGAATGTCCTTCTTTATCTCCTTTCCTCCAGAAACATTCCTTTATGAATTGTGATTCTTGTCGGGGGGAAGACCCTAAACTACAGGTGACGAACATGGGGTGCACAATGGACCCTCAAGTTCTCACACCCCTCGGTCATGTACCAACCTCCTGCTTTGCCCAGTAATGCATTCCCTGCCCATTGTTCTTCAGATGTCTTCTAAATGGATGCTAAACCTATCAAGGGGAAAATCCAACCTAGTCTAAAGAGGAATTTCCTAATAGTGAGAACAATAAACCAGTGGAACAGCTTGCTTCCAGAAGTTGTGGGTACTCCATCATTGGAGGTTTTCAAGAAGAGATTGGACAGCCATTTGTCTGAAATGGGATAGGGTCTTCTGCTTGAGCAGGGGGCTGGACTAGAAAACTTTAAAGGTCCCTTCAAACTTGTATTATGTATTCTATTCAGTGTTTCCCTTCACTCACATTTTCCTTGGATACCTTTCAGATCTGACACCCATTCCCATGAACATCCACACCTTGTCTACCCATCTGATCCACCTCCTAGAATAGAATAGAATAGAATTAGAATTAGAATTAGAATAGCGTAGAGTTAGAATAGAAGAGAAGAGAATTAGAATTAGAATAGAGTTAGAATAGAATAGAATAGAATAGAATAGAATAGAATAGAATAGAATAGAATAGAATAGAATAGAATAGAATAGAAAGGGACCTTGGAGGTCTTCTAGTCCAGCCCCCTGCTCAAGTAGGAGGACCTATACCAGCTCAGACAGGTGATTGTCCAGTCTCTTTTTAAAAACTTCCAGCGATGGAGCACCCATGATTTCCTGGGGGTAAGCTGTTCCACTGTCCTCACTAGCTCTGCTTCCCAGTCACCATGCTTGCCCCTCCCCCCAGTGTTTTTTCCCCTGGATCAATCCACCTTCTCACCAAAATCCATGCTGGCATGGATTTCAATCTGTTCTGAAAGTTTTAAAAAAGTTTTTTTATTATTAATTAAAAAGCTTTTTCTCATCAACCCAGAATACAGTAACATTGTGGTGGAAGACAGGGTTTCAGTATTCTACTGTCCTCTGCTGACAAGGAGAAATATTGCAAGTTTTCTTAATTTGGCTGATTACCCACCAATAATAGTCCCTCTTTGAGAGAGATGGGCAGTTGGGAAACAGGATAGATAGATAGATAGATAGATAGATAGATAGATAGATAGATAGATAGATAGATAGATAGATAGATAGATAGATAGACAGACAGAGAGAGACAAATAGATGGCTGGGTAGGTAGATAGATAGATAGATAGATAGATAGATAGATAGATAGATAGATAGATAGATAGATAGATAGATAGATAGATAGATAGATAGATAGATAGATAATAAAAATAATTAAAAATATAACACAGTGTGAAATCTTTTAAGACAAAAAAGGGCCACATCCAGTTTTTGGCTCTGAGCCCATCTCCTTTTTGGATGAAAACCTGATGTGGTTTTCAGAAAGGATACAATTATGTGCCCCCCCCTCCTTTTAAAGGTTTCCTGGCTCCCACAATGGAGGCTTCTGTCACAAAAAATAAAAATCAGGAAGCTAAACTAAGAAGTGGCTCCGTTTGCAGATTGCCCTGAACTGTGGTTTGCAAATCAACTGTGGTTTGTAGCTCAGTATAAGGTGCAAATGAGGATCCCTGGTTTGTCCCGTTTTTTTGATTCAACCGATCGGAGCAACATCCCGTAGGCTGGTGGTCTGAGACTAAGCGAGGCCTTCGGATAAGCAATCTATCTTTTTAAACCCACCCCCTCCTTCCCACAAGCTCCCCCCCTTCTTCCCCCCCCCCACTGACCAAATGACCAACAGATGCTAACTGCCTCCCTTGGCTCTATCCACATGTCTCTGATTAGATTTATTTCCCTTGCATTCCTGTATATATACCGCAGTCACTTAGCAACTGCTCCACTTAGCATTCCTTCCTCAGTGTCCCACAGGGGACTTTTTTTTCATCCCTGAGTAGGCGTTGGGTGATTACACTTCCTCCTTTCTGCTTTCCACTTACTAAACAGTGGCTTGGTCAATGGGGGGGGAAGAAGGGGGACATTTGTGAGATAACCTGACCTCACAGCAACTTTCCTCCCTTCCTTCTGCACCCCCCCCGTCCCCTCCCCAAAAGAGGCCTTGACCATCTTCACTGGAGGCAGCCTGGAGCAAATTCCTTCTTGTGGGTTATTCATTTCTGCCTCTCCACCTTCCTGAAGGGGAATCTTTCTGATGTAAACAAGTCAGATAAGGTTGCTCAGCACATCCAAGCTGTCTGCTCTGCCTGAGAAGCAGCAGCTTTAAAACGTGCCCAGATGTTCTCAGAGTTAGATTCAGAATAAAGCTGGAAGGGATCTTGGAGGTCTTTTGTCCAACCCCCTGCTCAAGCAGGAGACCCACTATCTATCACTTCTGACCAGGGGTAGGCAACCTTGGCTCTTTTACAACTCGTGGACTTCAACTTCCAGAATTCCTCAGCCAGCATGGGGGAACTATGGCCTCTTTATGACTTGTGGACTTCAACTCTCAGAATTCCTCAGCCAGCATGGGGGAACTATGGCCCCTTGATGACTTGTGGACTTCACCTCCCAGAATTCCTCAGCCAGCATGAGGGAACCATGGCTCCTTTATGACTTGTGGATTTTAACTCCCAGAATTCCTGAGCCAGCATGGCTCAGCTTGGAAACCTCAGCATGGCTGACTCAGAAATTCTGGGAGTTGAAGTCCACGAGTAAAAAAGAGCCAAGGTTGCCTGCCCCTGCTTCAGACAAATGTCTGTCCAGTCTCTTCTTCAAAGCCTCCAGTGACGGAGCACCCACAACTTCTGAAGGGAAGCCTTTCCACTGGTTAATTATTTTTAATTATTTTCACTGTTAGGAAGTTTCTCCTAAATTCCAAGTTGCTTCTCCTCTTGATTAGTTTCCATCCATTATTTCTTGTTTTACTTTCTGCTGCTTTGGAAAATAAGTTGAGCCCCTCCTCTTCTTTGTGGCAGCTTCTCAAATACTGGAAGACTGCTATCACGTCCCCCCTAGTCCTTCTTTCCTGTAGACTTGCCATACCCAATTCTTGCAACCATTCTTGGTATGTTTTAGTCTCCTGGCTTTTAATCGTCTTAGTTGGTCTTCTCTGCATGTTTTCCAAAGTCTCAACATCTTTTTTGTAATGTGAGGAGCAACAAAGATGATTAGGGGTCTGGACGCTAAAACATAGGAAGAATGATTGCAGGAATTGGGGATGTCTATTCTAATAAGGAGAAGGACTAGGGGTGATAGGATAGCCCTCTCCCAATATTTGGGGGGCTGTCACAGAGAAGAGGGAGTTGATTAACTCTCCAAAACACCTAAGAGCAAGACAAGAAATAACGGATGGAAGATTATAAAAGAGAAATCCAACTTAGAACTAAGGAGAAATTCCTGATTATGATGACAATCTATCGGTGGAAGAGCTTGTGGGCACTCCATCACTGGAGATCTTCAAGAAGAGACTAGACAGCCATTTGTCTGAAATGGTATAAGGCTTCCTGCCAGAGCAGAGGGTTGGACTAGAAGACCTCCAAGGTCCCTTCCAATTCTATTGTTCTATGTTCTAAGTTTCAGATCACCTAGTGGTGAGCATTCCTCCATCTAGACCGTGATGGAAGAAGTCTCAGAAAGACGTCTCCCCTTGCATTATTGTTTTATTTTTGGGCAGACAGCTCTACTCAAGCAAACCAAAATTGTTTTTTTTCCCTCCCTCCCTCCCCCCCCCCAACCTTCCTCCCAATCCTCCTTTGACTTCTCTTAAAGTAAGGCTCTGCCCCATGGCTGACATCAGCAGAAATGATCAAGCGAGAGACAGGAAATGAGAGCTAAACTGGTGACGTGATTCCCTCAGTGGAGATCAGTCCGAGAAAACAAGAAGCCATTGTTCTTTTCTTTTCTTTTCTTTTTGCTTGTGGAAAAACAGTTGGGGGGGGGGGAACGGTGCAAGGCGCCTGTCAAAATCCACAGCAGAGGATTTTGGGATCCAGCTTGACTTAATCTCATTTGCATGCTGGCTCAGTTCTCTTTCACCATGAGTCTCTTCGCTCTTCAGACAAATGGGGGGAGGGAGACAGAATAAAGTGGCTTGTCAGCATTTCTTTGCACCTAGCAAAGGCCCCTCTCTTAAGGAGGCAAGAGTCAGCCCTTTGGAGAGGGGGTGAGTTTATGTACTTTGGGGAAGGACGCTTCAAACTACACAGAAGGATACAAAAGTGCAGGATTGGAAGGTTAGAAAGTCTGTGTAGATTCGCTGCATCCAGTTTTGGTCGCCACAATATAGGAAGGACGGTTGCAGGAATTTGGTATATCTAGTTGAACGAAAAGAAGGACTAGGGGTGACATGATAGCAGTCTTCCAGTATTTGGGGGGGCTGCCTCAAAGAAGAGGGGGGGGTCAACTCTTCTCCAAAGCATCTGAAGGCTGGACAAGAAGCGACGGATGGAAACTAATCCAAGAGAGAAGCAACCAGGAACTAAGGAGAAACTTCCTGAGTGTTCAAACAATTAATCAATGGAATAGTTTGCCTCCAGAAGTTGTGAATGCTCCAACTCTGGAAGTTTTTAAGAAGAGACTGGACAACCATTTGTCTGAAATGGTATAGGGTTTCCTGCTTGGGCAGGGGGTTGGACTAGATGACCTCCAAGGCCCCTTCCAACTCTATTATTCTTTTATTCTGTTTAGGGAGAAATTGATGAGAGTCACCATCTTTTTTTTTCTCAGTCTGGTTGCTTCTCTTGAACTATCCAAAGATGTGGTCAAATAAGTCAAACTGACAGCTATAATCAAAACTCCAATTGCTTTCTATGTGTTCCACCTTCTTGTCCTTTTTTTTGTTTTTGTTTTTGTAACCCTATCCTGCAGTCACCCTTTAAAAATCTCTCCAACCTGTTGACTTAACCACTACACCAGCAGTCTCCAAACTCGGCAATTTTAAGACCTGTTAACTTCAACTCCCAGAGTTCCCCAGCAGGGCTAGCTGAAGCATTCTGGGAGCTGAAGTCCACAAGTCTTAAAAGTCGCCACGTTTGAAGACTCCTGCACTAGACCAAGCTGGCTCTCATACAATGCCCAATATATGCAAATATATTGTCTGGTATTTCATTAAAAAAAAAAGATTCCGGTTTAGATTAGCAGGTTAGAGGAACGGCCATAGAATAATGGCCTTCTGTTCAGGAGAACTTAGAAAGTCAGACCAGCAAAAGTCTGTTGGACCTTGACTGAATCCTGGTGTCTTCTCACTGACTGTATGGTTTTCCTCCTACTTTCTCAGCTTTTGCTTGCCTCCCTAGGGCTTCCTGATCTTGTACCTGACCCAAACTATGTCCAAGCGTCCACGTATGTTCAGAGAGCTCACCTCTACTCACTCCGTTGTGCAGCGGAAGAGAAGTGCCTCGCGAGGTAACGCTCTCCATGTTTTATTTCTTTGCTTCATCATTCATACGTCTGTTTGTTCATCTGTTCAACTCAGAGGGCCGAGCAAGACTCAGAAATTCTGGGTGGTATACAGACAAATTAGGAGCAATCTCTACAAGGAAAAAGAAAATCAAATTTGCCACACTAACCAAATAGTTATCATGGATATATTATCTATCATTCTATCAATTCATCCATCATCTACCATTCTACCTATCTTTTATCTATTGTCTATCTAGCTATCATTCCAGATCTTTATCTATCATTCTATTAATTCATCTATCATCAATCATTCTATCTATTTTAGCTATTGTCTATCTATCATTCCAGATCTTTATCTATCATTCTATCAATTCATCCATCATCTACCATTCTACCTCTTTTATGTATTGTCTATCTAGATATCATTCCAGATCTTTATTTATCATTCTATCAATTCATCTATCAACCATTCTATTTTAGCTATTGCCTCTCTATCTATCATTCCAGATCTTTATCTATCATTCTATCAATTCATCCATCATCTACCATTCTACCTATCTTTTATCTATTGTCTATCATTCCAGATCTTTATCTATCATTCTATCAATTCATCTATCATCAACCATTCTACCTATCTTTTATCTATTGCCTATCTATCATTCCAGATATTTAGCTATCATTCTATTCACCTATCATCAACCATTCTACCTATTTTAGCTATTGTCTATCATTCCAGATATTTCTATCATTCTATCTATTCATCTATCAACCATTCTATTTTAGCTATTGTCTCTATCATTCCAGATCTTTATCTCTCATTCTATCTATTCATCTATCATCAATCATTCTACCTATTTTTAGCTGTTGTCTATCTATCATTCCAGATCTTTATCTATCATTCTATCTATTCATCCATCATCTACCATTCTACCTATCTTTTATCTATTGTCTATCTAGCTATCATTCCAGATCTTTATCATTCTATCAATTCATCTATCATCAACCATTCTATCTATTTTAGCTATTGTCTATCTATCTATCATTCCAGATCTTTATCTATCATTCTATCTATTCATCTATCAACCATTCTACCTATTTTTAGCTGTTGTCTATCATTCCAGATCTTTATCTATCATTCTATCTATTCATCCATCATCTACCATTCTACCTATCTTTTACCTACCTTTTATCTATCTATCTATCTATCTATCTATCTATCTATCTATCTATCTATCATCTATCATCTATCTATCTGTCATTCCAGATCTTTATCATTCTAGCTATAATTCTATTGATCTATTTATTTATCTGTCATCTGTCATCTATCATTCCATCTATCCATCATTCTAGCTACAATTCCATTGAGTTATCATTTTACCTACCCTGGAGAAAGTGACTTACGACCGTTTTTCCCACTTACGACCATTTGACCCTTTTTCACACGTAGGACCCATAGCAGCATCCCCGTGGTCACATGATCACAATTCAGACATTTTGGCGACTGACTCACATTTATGACGGGTTGCAGTGTGCCAGGGAGTCACGTGATCCCCTAATGCAAACTTCTGATGGGCAAAATCAACAGGGGAAAGTCAGATTCACTTTACAATCATGTCACTAACGGCAGCGATTCTCTGATCGACTGTGGCGAGAGAAGTCATAAGATGGTGCAAAACTCGCTTAACAAATTTCTCACTTAGCCCCAGAACGTTTGGGCCCTGTTGTGGTCATTAAGTTGAGGACTACCTGCAAAAGAAATCTCCCCGAGTGTGTGGACAGGATTGCAGGCTAGTTTATGAAAGAGAAAAAAAATCAGTGAAAGTCAGAGGTGGCAAGAGTTACTCCTAATTTTAAAGACAGGTGATGGGTGCCAACAGAAGCAAAGAACAATAGAGTTTATTGTCAGAAATACAAAGAAAGCCCTGAATTTGGTAGAAGAAGGGGGGGGGAGCAAACTTCCTGAAAAGAAGCTAAAATAAAGGAGTGGGTAGGAAGAACATGGAGGGCCGAGCTTGGTTGGCAACCCTTAATGTACATGTTGAATGTATTTCCTTGCTTTAAAAAAAAAACAAAAAACAACCTAGAGATTAAGAATTAGAATCGATAGTTTTTTGATTTAAAGCTAAACTATTGCATTTATAAACTGATAAAGTTATAACGCAGGTTTTAATAGTGATAGAAATTTAAAATAGAAATGGAATATTTAAATGTATTATGTTAACTGAGAGGCATAGAGAGGGGATAATGAAATTTATTGAGTTGTGTTGTTTATATATATTTTCACTTTTGAACGTTTGACCACCTAACCATCACGGTGGGTCTTGAATACTTTTTAAGAATGTTAAAAAAACCAATAAAATGTCTTTAAAAAAAAAAACAACCTGGGAATTTATCCAAACCACATCAGACTGGCCTCTACAAATAGATTACCAACCCGCCAGAATGATAATTTATTTAAAAGGGGGGGGAAATGTCCAGCCTGTTCAACGCGGTTAAGCAGGGATTTAATTGAAGGACTGGAAAATCCTCTCGGATGCACCCCGTTTGGGAAGACCCTTAAATGGAGTTTAAGGAGGGAAGGCTGAAAAAAAGAGCTCAAAAAGATACTTGCACTAATCAGAAAAGCTGCATTTTCAGGAAGATAGGGGTGTGGTTTGCACATCGTTTCAAGCAGGAGAGTGCAAACTTGGCAGCTTGAAAACCTGTTGGTCTTCCCATGCTGGCTGAGGGATTCTGGGAGTTGAAGTCCCCAGGTCTTCAAGTGGCCAAGGTTGGACACCCCTGGCTTAAACTTGGACGACTGCCTCTGATGAAACAAGCCATAGTTCATAAAAGTTTCTGCCTTTTAATAAAACATGAGCCGAGGTGGCGCAGCAGTTAGAGTGCAGTACTGCAGGCCACTTTAGCTGACTGTGTTCAGCAGGTCAGCGGTTCAAATCTCACCGGCTCATGGTTGACTCAGCCTTCCATCCTTCCGGGGTAGGTAAAATGAGGACCCAGATTGTTGGGGGCAATGTAAATATATATATACATTGCTTACTGGTGTACACCGTTTAGAGAGTGCTTGCACTTAAAGCGGTATATAAGTCTCATAAATAAATAAAACGTTTCAGGTTGAAAATGGGTGCCAAAGACTCCCGGTTTGTGGCATCCATGGATTAACACAACGTTCATCTTGCAATTTACAATTAGCAAGCCAGAGCTTAATATACACACGCGTGTGTGTGTGCGCGCACACACACACACACACACATCAGTATAAGAAGAATCTATGCCTTAATTAGCAGCTGTAAACCAGTGGTTGCTTTTTTAAAAAAATATCATGGGATTAAACAAGATGACAGCTCCTCAATAGCTACAGGGTCCAGATGGAAAGTTGGCCAGCTCTACAGCCAATCTTCCCCTTTGTTCAGGTGTGAATTGCATTTTTAACTGTGCTTTGCCAAGGGCAGGGGTCCTCAACCTTGGCAACTTTAAGACTTGTGTAATGTGGAATAATGAACAATCACAAGAATGATGTGTCTGCATAATTACTGAAATAGTGCTGTGTTAGTAGTATGTGACTAACCTAAGGCGCATTACACTCGGATACAATGTATGTAGCAAACTCTCCATTGTATACCTGTGAGAGATGAACCTAATGTATTACAATGTGTATTTCAATGTGTATTCCTTTGTTCCTGAGAAAAGAAAGTATAAAACTGAAGTCTGAACTCGCCCTTGGGGTTCAGAATTGCTTGCTTCTATTGCTTCTGAACTTGCGCAATAAATCTGCTAAACCCTCTGGAATTCGTAAGAGTCCTTTCGTTTTCCACAAGATGTGGACTTCAACTCCCAGAATTCCTCAGCCAGCTGAGTAATTCTGGGAATTGAGGTCCACAAGTCTTAAAGTTGCCAAGGTTGAGGACCCCTGTCCTAGGGGGTTCAAAGGCGCTGACCCAGGGACCTCCATTCTCCCTTTGAGCCCCCAAAACATGAACCCTTTCAAGTAGGAAGAGCAGAGACAGAGCAGCTGGCCTAGAGATACCCAAGGAGCTCCAGAACGAAATGGACTTGAGTCTTCTTGATCTATGCCCAATACTGTAACCACAGGCAGTCCTTGACTAATGACCACAACTAAGCCCAAAATTTTTGTCACAAAGCGAGATGTTCATTACGGGAGTTTTGCCCCATTTTGCCACTTTTCTTGTTGTTAAATGAATCGCTGCAGTTGTTAAGTTAGTAGCATGGTTATTTAGTGGATGTGGCTTCCCCCCTTGACTTGGCTTGTCAAAAGGTCGCAAAAGGGGATCTCATGACTCCCCAGGACACTGCGACATCATAAATATGAGTCAGTTGCCAAGAGTCTGAATTTTGATCACGTGACCACGGGGATGCTGCAACAGTTGTACGTGTGAAAAATGGTCCTAAGTTTCAGTGCCGTTATATCTTCGAAGAGTCACTAAATGAATGGCTGTAAGTTAAGGACTGCCTATACTAGACCTCCCAGGCTGATTCAGCTGACCACCAAAGTTATATTCCTGCTGTCATATCTTGGTTTCATCCTCATCCAGCACGGCTTACACTGCGGAAGCGACCGATTACGATGTCCGGGTGCTACTGCGTTTCCCGCAGCGAGTGAAGAACCAGGGCACCGCAGACTTCCTGCCCAACCGAGCCCGTCATACTTGGGAATGGCACAGCTGCCATCAGTAAGTGTCCCTTAACATCAGGAAACCAGGGTGTGAAAATGTGTGGCGTTCTTGTTGAATTCATCCAAAAGTTTTAACCAAGTTTGTTCACCACCTAGCAACTGCATTCCACCCCACCTCCAGCCCTAAAACTGGTTAGCTGCAAGTTGTTTGTTTGGGGATGTTTAGCCTAATGAGTGAACCCTTCCCCAGTCTGCGAGGTTGAGGGTTCAAAGTTTTCTACACATCCAGAAAACATATGATTTTGGGTCAAGCCAAACCAAGAAAGACACATGGTGAGTCTTCCAAACTAAGTTGTTTATTGTTCCACACCTATAGACAGAATCTTGCCAGACTGAGGACTCTCCTATCTGCATCTACAATACACTCTGGGAACTATTAAGGAGGGTCTGCTTTCACCCTCTTTCTCTCACACAAAATATCTGGGCTGAGTTGCTTCTTCCTCCTCTGGAATGCACCATTTCCCTCCTGGGAATCCACCTCCTCACTGCATTCCATCACATCACATCTGGACTTCAACTCCCAGAATTCATCAGACATAGTGTGTGGGCTTCAAAACCCAGAATACCTCAGTTATCATCTGTCAGGCCCAAAACAAAGAAGGACACGTGGCAATTTTTCTCAGCTGAGTTCTCCATTGTTTTACACCTTTAGACAGCATCTTGCCACATTAAAGACTCTACTGCTACAATATACTCTGGGAACTATTAGGGAGGAGCTGTCTTCACTCTCTTTCTCAGACACAAAATATCTGGGCTGAGCTGTCTGTTCCTCTTCTGGAATTCATCCCCTCCTTCCTGGGGATCCATCTCCTCACTATATCCCATCCCATCTTGATACTTGCTATAATTGGTACACTTTCTTTTCTTGTTCATTTGTCCTCTCTGACTAGAGAGTGACCAGTGCTGAGGCTTCATAGTAGAAGCTACAAGACCTCTCCTAAGGAGAACTTCTAGAACAGTGGTGGTGAACCTATGGCACGGGTGCCAGAAGTGGCACTCAGAGCCCTCTCTGTGGGCACACGTGCCGTTGCCCCAGCCTTGCCTACCCCTGTGACCCCCTCTCCAGCAGCCCCCCAAAGGAGAGTCGCCCTTGAGCGTGGCCCACACAGAGCAGTGCAGCCAAGGACATGGCAGCTAGGAAGCATAGACAAGACTCTGTCCTCACACCCCATCATGTGTAGTTGATGCTGTAGGACGCGGGCAGAGGGTGTGGCCGCCATAGCGCTGCTGGGCTGCCTGGGCAATCTGCAGAGGACCCTGGAGGTGGTGAGTGGTCCTGTGGGCAAGCGGGGTGGGGGATGGGGGGCAGAGCGGGGGCAGGGGGTGGAGCGAGGGCAGGGCCAGTTTTTGGGCACTCGGTCTCTAAAAGGTTTGCCATCACTGTTCTAGAATTTTGTCCCAAAACACAGCCTTGCAGCGCAGGTCAAAGATGGAAACCAGGGCTTCAGGAATGAGAAGGACGGTGGGACCACCTTCTGAAAATCATCCATATATTCATATTCAGAACTTGTTATGGGTATCTTCTCATATGGAAACCTTCTTGTAGCTGAACTTGGTTTCTTGTAAACAATTGTTCTCCATTCTCCAGGCATTACCACAGTATGGATGAGTTCAGCCATTATGACTTGCTGGATGCTACCACCGGGAAGAAGGTGGCAGAAGGCCACAAAGCTAGCTTCTGTCTGGAAGACACCACATGTGACTTCGGGAACCTCAAGCGCTATGCCTGCACATCACATACCCAGGTAGGTTTACTTCTCAGTAAATCTCTTCTCAGAAATCTCAGTGAAACTAATGCAAGAGAGATAATATTTTAATAATTGAGACATGGGGAGATGCCTTTTTTTTTTTTTGGCCATTGTTTCTGTCCTCCAAGACCTGTGGAGGTATGCTGTCAATATTATGATGTTACCAGAGAGTCAAGATTGACATTTTGTTGGGGTTTTGAAGAGTCCGTGGGGTTACTTAGAACAGGTGCATTAAGGCTATCTAGGGTTAGGCACATCTCTTTAGGAGTGGGTGTTTAAAATTGTGCTACGTAAAAAGGGCAGTTTGCTGCAAAATCTGAGCAGCCCAGTCTTGGGGGATTTCAGAGGCTGCAAACCTCTCCATTTTTAGCAAAAATGTGTGTGTGTGTGGAGTCTGAAGATCCAGTTAAGCTGATTAGCAGTTGAAATCCTAGTCTTTATCCTTGATGGAAAAGGAGAAGAAGAAAGAGGGGAAGAATGGAGAAGGAAAAGGAGAAGGGAGGAGGAGGAGGAGGAGGAGGAGGAGGAGGAGGAGGAGGAGGAGGAGGAGGAGAAGAAGAAGAAGAAGAAGAAGAAGAAGAAGAAGAAGAAGAAGAAGAAGAAGAAGAAGAAGAAGAAGAAGAAGAAGAAGAAGAAGAAGAAGAAGAAGAAGAAGAGGGAGAAGGAGAAGGAGAAGGAGAAGGAGAAGGAGAAGAAGAAGAAGATCCAATTCTGTGTCGTACCTATTTTCCCATCAGGCATCTTTTCCCAGTCCAACAACTATAATCTTTCAAATGTCATCAAGATTTGTCCACTTAAATTTTAAATTGTCCACTTAAAGGTTCAAGCCATGTTTTTGTTTTCTTTCAGGGTCTGAGTCCAGGTTGTTACGACACTTACAATGCTGACATAGATTGCCAGTGGATTGATATCACAGACGTTCAACCTGGGAATTATATCCTAAAGGTACGCTGGTTGGTTTGTTGGTGGATTGATGGGTTGGGGGGATGGGTGGGGCTGGTGGGTTGGTCGAGGAACTTCTACCTTCTTCCCACTTCTGTATCAAAGAAGTTGATTTGCTTTTTCACCTTCCCTCCACCTTTCAGGTCCAGGTAAATCCCAAATACATCGTGATGGAATCGGACTTCACCAACAACGTGGTAAGGTGCAACGTTCACTACACCGGGCGCTTTGTGGCCACCACAAACTGCAAAATCTCCCAGTAAGTCTCTGGAACAACTTTCTCTTTGGGAGCGCAGAAAGGCTGGAGCCTTATTATTTTGCCGGATGGTCTTGCTCGGAAAGGGCCACCATGACGCTCTTTGAATCCAACGTGTTCTCCACTGTCCTGAGATCAGAACGTGGCCTCATCATCTTAAATCTGATTCAATATCAGTAGAGATGGGACTAGCTTGATCCGAGAATGAACCACCTGTCAAAATGGCTCAGTTGGCCTGAAGTCATCTTCTCCCAGAAGAAAGGCAGATGACCTTCATGAGTGAGGTGGATCCCTTTCCTGACCTTTTCGCTCCCAGCCCTTTATCATTGATCTAACCCATAGTAATCCCAAAGGTGCTTTTTCAGGAGGCCCCTGGACTTTCTTTTTTTTTCTTTGAAGACGTTTTGCTTCTCATCCAAGAAGCTTCTTCACCTTTGACTAGATGGTTAGGGAATGGAAGGATTTTTATTCCTTGCAGACAGCTGGTCTTATAAATCCTTCCATTTCCCCACCATCTAGTCAGGGCTGAAGAAGCTTCTTGGATGAGAAGTGAAACGTCTCCAAGGAAAAACAAGAAAGTCCAGGTGACTCCTGAAAAAAGCACCTTTGGGACAACCAGGAACTGGAGGATGGAGAATCTCCATAGACATCTAATCCATAGGCCTTTCTAATCCATAGGGCTTTCCCCAACCTGGATCACCTCCATTCAACCTGGATGACAATGTCCCCTAATAGCCCTCCCTGTCCCTATAAGCCAGACCTGGCAGGTATTGTAGGTCTAAACATCTGGAAGGGATCCACTTGAAGAAAGCCTTCTCAGAAGACCTATTGTATCCAGCTAGGTCATAAACCATGTTTGTAGGAATGCTATCTTTGGACCATATCATGCTTGTCCATTTATCCTTCAACTCCAACCTTCAATCTTGTTGTTGTTAGTTGCGAAGTCGTGTCCGACCATCGCGACCCCATGGACAACATTCCTCCAGGCCTTCCTGTTCTCTACCATTTTCTGGAGTCCATTTAAGTTCACACCTACTGCTTCAGTGACTCCATCCAGCCACCTCATTCTCTGTCGTCCCCTTCTTCTCTTGCCCTCAATCTTTCCCAGCATCAGGCTCTTCTCCAGTGAGTCCTTCCTTCTCATTCGGTGGCCAAAGTCCTTGAGTTTCAACTTCAGGATTTGGCCTTCTAAAGAGCAGTCGGGGTTGATCTCCTCTAGGACTGACCGGTTGGATCGCTTTGCAGTCCAGGGGACTCGCAGGAGTCTTCTCCAACACCAGAGTTCAAAGGCCTCAACCTTCACTCTATTTGTTCTTAATCCAGATAGCTCAAAATGGAACAGGAATAATCTACCTGAAGATTCCAGTTGTTAAATTGGCAGCAGCAATGACCTGATCCAGCTGGACCGTCTTAATGTTTTTATGTGACATTTGAACGAGCACCCGAGCATCATTAATATGCAAATTCCTTAGCAAATAAAGCACGCAGGGCAATCAAAAGGCAAGTTGCAGCTTCTCTCTTCCTTTAAAACACAGCTCTGCCTTTTACGATCTGTGTAGCCTCCTAGGACAGCCCCAAAGTATTTTTTTTTCATGTTTCTAATCCCGTGCCATGGTCAGCCAGCATAAACAGCAGCAGTCCCCAAAACAAAAAAAAAATGCTTGTTGATCTTGACCAAGGCATGGAGGGACGAAAGAGAGAGGAAGGGTGTGATTCCTCCTACAATTTTATAAGCATATCACTGCTTTAAAAAAAACCAGCTCCATAAAAAAGAGCTTTTTTTGTATTTTGCCGCAGTTGGGTTTTAAAGGGAAAAGCAAGCAAAACTCCCTTAAGAGAGAGGTGATTTCAAGGGCAGAAAAGTACAAATCTTACAAAAAGAAAACAAAGAAGAAACACACGTTTCAGAGAGGCCGCGTTCCTTAGGAAATTCAGCTGCTCGTTGCCCTATCTAGACGAGAGACTTGATCATCCGTTGCCTTTCTAAAACACAACCACAAAAAAAATGGGCATCAGTGGCAAATTCATTCCAGTTCTTCCAGACTTGTCTATAAACAGAGAGCAAACCTCACCCCCTTCTAACACTGATGATGTTACCTAGTTGGGTCATGAAACGTCTGCAGGAAAACCACCAAGCTCAGAGAGCACCAAGGACCCCACAGTCCTCCTCCTCCTCCTCCCTTTCTCCTCCTCCTCTCCGCAAATCCCTCACTCTTCTAACACTGATGGTGTTACCTAGTTGGGTCATGAAACGTCTGCAAGAAAACAACCAACCTCAGAGAGCACTAAGCCATCATATTCCAGTTTTCTTCCAACAATTACTAGACAATACCAAGAAACATACTTTCTGAAACCCTGTCGGCTTTCAGACCTAAGGCAGGACTAGAATTCCCTTTCTCCTGGCGATCGGCCCAAATTCACCCCAGTCGGTTTTCAGGCCTAAGGCGGGACTAGAACTCACCATCTCCTAGTTTCTAGCCTAGACCAAACTGCCTCTCCCTTTCTGGGGGCAAGGATACCCCTAAGCTGCACGAAAACCAGCTTTGTAGAATCTGTGAGCTGTTTGTGGGTATCTCAACCTTCCCCATTCTGGACCCTCCTGGCTAGAAATTCTGGAGTTGCCTTTCCCACCCAGTTGGAGAACTGGAGGTGGTGTTGACGCCCGGCATGATCTGAAAATAATTCTGCCACTTCTGGTTTTGCATCCGATTTAAGATGTCATCACCCTCCTCGTTTCTCCTTCGCAGGTCTTGAGTTCAACCAGGATGGCAACAGCCCTTCCACCTTCCTTAGTTGTCCCCCCGTCTTCCCGCAAAAGCCTCTCGCAAGGTGTGTAGCCCGCTACGAGGGACCGGCCTCACCGCACCTGGCGCCTACGCGGAAACGGGAGCTGTTCCACAGCTTTGTTTTTGAGACTATGTTAAATGAAACGTGTCACTTTAATACTTTTATAAATACTTTTGTTCTGAATTTTGGTTTGCTGTTTTTGGTTTTTGTTTCCCCCCACAAATGCAGAAGGCTGCTGGTTGGCAGGCCTGTCGGGGAGAGGAATCCACCACATAGACATACACGAAGACGCAGGCAGTCCTCGACTTATAACAGTTCATTCAGTGACCGTTCAAAGTTACGACGGCACTGCAAAAAGTGACTTTTAACAGTTTTCCCTGCTTACAAGCAGGGAAAACTGTTAAAAATCACTTTTTGTAGTGCCGTCGTAACTTTGAACGGTCACTGAATGAACCGTTATAAGTCGAGGACTGCCTGCATCTTACAAGCGTTGCAGCCGACCCAGGGTCAAAACTCAGACGCTTGGCAACTGACTCATACTTACGACGGTCACAGCGTCCCAGGGTCACGTGATCTCCTTTTGCATCCTCCTGACAAGCAAAGTCAAGGGGGGGAGCCGAATTCGCTTAACAACCGTGTTATTAACTTAACCACTGCAGTGATTCACTTAACGACTGAGGCAAGGAAGGGGCAAGGACCCTGGGGCATTGAAACTGTCATGAATAGGAATCAGTTGCCAAGCCTCCAGATTCTGATCACGTGACCACGGGGGATGCTGCAACGGTCGTAAGTGTGAAAAACGGTCATCGGGTCACTTTTTTTCAGTGCCGCTGTAACTTGAGACGGTCACTAAACGAACGGTTATACGTCAAGGGCTACCTGCACCTTCACGTACATCGACACTCTGGATTCCTCTCCCCGATGTCGGCAGCGCCAATAGCCACGACTGCTCCAGTTTTCCCTCGCACAGGTAGTACAACTGGCACCACGGTTGGCACCAACCCCTTCCCAGACGGCAGGAAGCCACATCGGGAGTACTGAGCACCGTTTGTTCCCCTGCAAGCGTTTGTTCCCAGTTGCCCTGTAAATCGTGAGCTGGCAGTGCCTGCTATGTGACTCTGGCAGCCTGGTTCCAATTCCCATTGGCGCGTCCTTTTAACCCCGTGCTGCAGCCAAGAAAAAAGGCTCTCAGAAAAACTTATAAGCATCCAGGGCCAGTTCTGGACTTCCAGTTGAGAAGGCATCATGGCAGCGGAGGAAAGGGGAAGGAGGGAGGAAGGGAGGGAGGGAGGGAGAGAGAGAGAGAGAGAGAGAGAGAGAGAGAGAGAGAGAGAGAGAGAGAGAGGAGAGGAAGGAAGGAAGAAGAAGGAGGAAGGAATGAAGGAAGGAAGGAAGGAAGGAAGGAGGAAGGAAGGGGGAGGGAAGGAAGGAAAGGAAGAAAGAAAGAAAGAAAGAAAGAAAGAAAGAAAGAAAGAAAGAAAGAAAGAAAGAAGGAAGGAAGGAAGGAAGGAGGAGGGGGGGAAGGAAGGAAGGAAGGAGGGGAGAGAGAAAGGGAGGGAGGGAAGGAAGGAAGGGGGAGGGAGGGAGGGAAGGAAAGAAAGAAAGAAAGGAAGGAAGGAAGGAAGGAAGGAAGGAAGGGAAGGAAGGAAGGAAGGAAGGAAGGAAGGAAGGAAGGAAGGAAGGAAGGAAAGATGCCAGCTCCATAATTGGGCAGAACCATCCATGCAACCAAGCCAGAACAGTCCAAAGTTGAGCTTTCCAAAACTCTTTAGCCAGGTGGAACAAAAACCTGGTGCTGGGAAGCAGACAGATCCAAAGCATCTGGCTAGAGCATGGAGGAAAGGAGGCCTTGCATAGGGAGTGCATTGCTCACTGGGTGTGGCGGGGATCAACCATGGCTTTCCCACCCAACATGGCTTTCTAGGACAATACAGGAACGGCTGCTCCTTCTCCCCCACCCAGGGCTGAACACAGAAAACCTTGGACCTCATCCCAGCTCCGAAGGAGTTGACTCAGGTAATCCAAGGGATTAGCTGGAAAGAGCCAGCGTGACCAAGCTCTCTCTTGGCAGAAGTGATAGGACAGGGTCTCTTTGCCTACAAGGCCTCCACAAAAAGAATTAAAACTCTACAGCTCTGCTAACTTTCAACGCATTCTGCTCAACTAGGGTAGGTGGGGTTGACTTGGTGTTCATCGAAAGAGGGGTCAGGCTCGGCTCCAACAGGCAGGTAGAACCAACGAATTCTCACTTTGGGAAGGAAAATGTTAATTTTCTTTCCCCCCCCCCCAACTCCAGTCAACCATTTGTTTCCTACAGGAAACCGTCCCACCGATCTGCAATAACCACACCGCTAAAATGAGTTAGGAGAGAAACTCAAGCGGAATGCAAAGAAAAGGGAAGAGTTGGTGACAGCATTGCGAGGTAGTCCAGATGAGATGCACACCCAAATGAACTAGCTCTACTTTATTGTAAAGTTACCTTAACAGAATCTTGCAAATCGGAACGAATATTCCAAATTCCCCCCCCCCTCACCTTTACATCCAAGAAACTAAAAATATTTTCCACACTCTTATTCCTTCTCTGGATCCAGCTGCCTCTTATCCAATCGTTCTCCTCTCTGCAGCTCCTCCCCACCTCGTAAGGTCATTCCCACATCCATTACAGTTGGCTACTTCGTATATGGACATGTCCCAATTGTATTTCAATTTCTGAACGGGGCTGGGAAGTCATTACTACCAATCATCGGTAGAGGGCAATCTTGCCAAGGAAATTAACTTTATTTGCTTAAACTGATAAAAGTGAATATTTGTATCTTAACTTGAGTCTCCCAGCGGCATCTTCGTACTAACCAGATCTTCTCCCCCGCTGTGCCTTTTGAGATTAACCAAGATTATCTCAGGGTGGTAGGCAAACTGAGCCAAATAAAACCCCTTTTTTTTTTAAATTACGAAGGTGGAAAACTTTAAAACAAGCACTAAGCTATTAAAATATGTTGGTTAAAGGTGGTCTTTGGAGCCCCAGAGAGCCAAACCTATAAGTAAACATGAAAAGTAGGGAAAGCTTGAAACCAATTCAAAGTTCAAGGCAACCGGTGACAAACAATATAATGAGCAGAGTTAGACTGCATTCTGCATGGAGAACACAAGATAAACCCCAATCTCTTGAGACCCTTTAGAAGTTTGTTTTAAAAGAAACAGATCGTTCAAGGTTCAATGTGTAATTAAACAGTCTCACTGTCCAATTAATCAACAAAGATAAAACAGAAGGCTTATGTTCCTAAGTTTCCATAATAAACATTGTCCAAGCTCTCTGCTCAAACTTAATATAGCCTACCTCCAATGGGTTTTGTTTTTTTAATGGTTGATCTCATGTGAATTTTTGCAAGTTTGGGGATAGATTAATGGAGTTTAAGGGCTTTCAGTGGCTGGCAGTTATTTTTTTATTTGTGACATTTTTAGACCACCCTTATCCTTCTGAAGGGTGTACAATAAAATTATGTGGGCTGTGGGTTAACCTGATGCCTCATAGCAGTCTAACTAGCCATTAAAATTAAGTTCACACAGAAACATAAGATTCCCCGGTTGATCGAAAACCAAATATAGAGTTTGGTTTAGCATTACATGTGAACCCAACCACAGAGGCTAGTTTGTTTTGTTTTCTGATTTAGCAGTTTGCGTGGAATCCTGCCAATTGTGGTTTATTCGAGTAACCACTGTTAACTGCAAATAATGGATGGAGACTAATCAAGGAGAGAAACCACCTAGAACTAAGGAGAAACTTCCCAACAGTGAGGACAATTAACCAGTGGAACGGCTGACCTCCAGAAGTTGTGGGTGCTTCATCACTGGAGGTTTTTAAGAAAAGACTGGACAGCCATTTGTCTGAAAAGGGATAGGGTCTCCTGCTTGAGCAGGGGGCTGGACTAGAAGACCTCCAAGGTCCCTTCCAACTCTGTTATTCTGTTTAGGGAGAAATTGATGAGAATTACTATCTTTTCTGCTCAGGCTGGTTACTTCTCTTTAACCAACCAAGGATATGGTGAAATAAGTCAAAATGGCAGTGGTAATCAAAGCTCCATCAATTTTCTATTTGTTCCATCTTCTTCTATTTTTTTTTAACCATATCCTGCAGTCACCCTTTAAAAATCTCTCCAATCTGGTTCTTTAACCACTAGACCAGGGATCTCCAAACTTTGCATCTTCTAAGATTTGTGGACTTCAATTCCCAGAATTCCCCAGAAGAGATCAGACAGCCCTTTGCCCAGAATGGTATAAGCTCTCAAGCTTGAACAGGAGGTTGGACTAGAAGATCTCTAAAGTCTCTTCCAACTGTGTTATTCTGTTAATTTCCTAGGATTTCAGAGAAAAATCTTTCTTAGCCATCTGTAGCCACATCCCGCCTAGTCCCAAAATCTAGGGCTACCCGCTCCAGATACTCAAAGCACAGTGCAAGGCGAAGGTCATTTCTTACAATTTATTCAGAATTAAATTTTAATACAACGAAATCTTTCGGTGACTAGAAGCCTGGAGGAAGTACACTGAGTCAACTTCAGCAGGCAGGTTTGACTTGCTTGCTATTAAAACCACAAAAGCCCACCAGATGGTGAAACTAAGGAACTTGGAGGGGGGGCAGTGAAACACCAGGGAAAATAAATGAAAAACCCCAGCGGTTAAAAAGCGTTGGCCTCTGTCTTGAACTGCAACTCAGCAAAGTGGCTATTTCACTTTTCCCAAAAATGCAGAATGGACGCAGCAACGGTGACACTTCAGGGATTGCTTAGACTGCAACTCCCATCCTTCCTGGCCTGATGGGAGCCGTAGTTGGACCGTCCCTAGAGAGCTACACATTGCGAGCAGCAGAATACAGTAAGGCAACTGAGCTAGGAAAATTGTCAAGCCAGGGATAAAATGAAGTTTAAAACATCAGCTACCAATTATCCACATCATCACAATACTGCAATTATAAAACGAAAACCTCCACTCTGCCTTTGTTGGTTCCTCTGCCATTTGGGTCTGCTGGCTTCTAAAGAGTACACTGGACATAAAAGATTTCTAAAGGTTCAATGGGTGCTAAAAAAGCAACTTTGGAGACTCAGGTTTCAGTTGGGAGGTTATTTTAGGAGGTCAAAAAGAGGAAGACGGAAATGCAGCTCAGACTGGCAGTGAGGAACCTGGCACGTGCCTTGTTCCAATTCTGCAAAGATTGAATTTGGAGTCCATGCCATCCAATCTGTGCATCGACTCATCCCTTTGGAGAATTAAATGGGATGTCTCCAAATCTGCCAGGCTACTTCGGTGCGAGTACAGAAAAGGTCCTAGACACAAAGGGGGTCAACTGTCCTGAACTGATTGGAATCCTCCCATCAATTTTTCAAATCCAACCAGCCATTCAGATTCTTTTTTTCATGGTCTGCACAGCCTACCACATTTTTTAAAAAAAGAGAAACATAAAAAAACTATGGTGTCACCTTCCTTCAGTTTCCTGAAAGATTCACGTTTTCACAGCTTCCAGTTTTGTACATGTTGAAATTCAACCATCGGGCACTTAAACCAAAGGCGATTATTTTTTCTACTTCCCCAAAATTCAAAATCTAACTAAACACAATTCCCCTCCTCCCCCCCCCAACGTTAAACTTTTATATCTGAAAAAAAAAATAGGGAAAACAGAATCATTTCCTTCTCTTTCACACAAAGATAGCAACAAATACGTTAAAGACATAGTTTAAAAGATCCAACTTATTATAATAAAAGACGCTGGGATGCTAGTTTGGGAGAAAACATCCGAGTGTGGACATCCACCCACAGATGCAACAGGAAAGTGGAACTTTGCATCCCAGCTGCCTTTCCTTAAAAGCTCCTAACAAAACAAAACAAAAACCAGTTGCCTCTGACATGTCTGGTTTTAAGAGAATTTTCCATGGAATAAAACTTGGATTTCAATCTAAGAAATTGTCCAGTGAGGAATTGGGGCATTGACAAAGAGAAACGGTGGCATTTTTGTTCCAGTTCTGATATTCCAATACCCTTTCAATTTTGCTGAAGATACAGGAAGATACAGGAAATACAGATACAGGAAGATTCACCTTAGATCAGTAGGAGTAACTCTTATTTGGGAATCACCAGTAACTTTCTTTCAACAATGTTGGCAATTCATTGGTTTGTGCCCTTCAAGAGTCACCACTGTAGAAAAGATCCTGAAATCAGGATGGATTAAAATGGCTTCTCTTGGTGGGCTAAACCATCATCTCTTTAGTCAAAGGTTTCCATGACAATGCAGGAGTTCTTGGTCTCTCCCTGTGGGTTAAAGGAAAACTAGTTAGTCCTCACCCTACAACACCGGAGCCCAAAATTTCTGATGCTAAGCGGGACATTCAAGTGAATTTTATCCCATTTTACGGGATAATTAATTATTTGCCAATTATTAAGCAAATCACTGAAGGTTTTAAGTTGGTAACCTGGTTGTTAAGTCAATCTGGCTTCCCCGTGAACTTTGGTTGTAAGGACACAAAAGGGGATCACGTAATCCCAGGACACTGCAACCGTCATAAATACGAGTCAGTTGCCAAGCGTCTGAATTTTGATCATGTAACCACAGGGATGGTGCAGCGGTCGTAAGAGTGAAAAACGATCGTGTCAGTTTTTTCAGGGCCACTGTAACTTTGAATGGTCATTAAACGAACTGTTGTAAATGGAGGACTGCCTGTGCTTCGCTTAGCATCTCCACAAAAAGTCCTGTGTGTAAGAACCACCTCAGTGGTTAGGTGTTTTGTTTTTTTTTTTCCTGCAAGGGCTCCTTGCAAAGAATCCCCAACTGCAAAGAATGTGACTCATCTACCTCTTCAATAATTGCTTGATATCCTGGGTTATCCAGCTCAAATGCTTCGACATCCACTCCAGCATCAGGCACTTTGTTAATTGTAATCTTGCCATGACGGGCAAGTCTCTTGGGCTTAAAGAAAGAATAAAGAAAGATGTGAGTTATAACAAGACAGATACCTTCTGGGTTTCTGAAAATGGGCTTCTAGGGACAATGGCGAATCTCCAATTTCTTCTTAAAAACCTCCAGTGTTGGAGCACCCACAACTTCTGGAGGCAGGTTGTTCCACTGGTTAATTGTTCTAACTGTCAGGAAGTTTCTCCTTAGTTCTAGGTTGCTTCTCTCTTTGGTTAGTTTCCACCCATTGCTTCTTGTCCTGCCTTCAGGAACTTTGGAGAATAGCTTGACTCCCTCTTCCCTGAGATATTGGAACAGTGCTATCACGTCCCCCGTCCTTCTCTTTATTAAACTAGACATACCCAATTCCAGCAACCGTTGTTCGTATGTTTTAGCCTCCAACCCCCTAATCATCTTTCTTCTTCTCTGCACTCTTTCTAGAGTCTGGACATCTTTCTTTCTTTCTTTTTTAATTTTGTGATGACCACAGAAGCTAGACTATGTCTTGAACCAGGGCTTAGGACTCAAGATTCTGAATGTGAATCTGAAGAAGCTTCTCTAGCTGAACCTGTGGAATGCCAGCCTCAGGGACCCCAAGGCAAGAATTGCGTGAAGGTAATTAAAATTAGGCACCACCTGGACAACAGGAACAATCGTAGGAAGGTGTAAGCCCCCCCCCAGCCCCTCCCTCACATCCGGAGAGTGGAAACTAGCAGCGCAGAGATGTTTTACAAGGTCCTTGTCAAGCAAGGAAGTAATTCTCTTGATTGGTGACATCTGGCTGCAGCTCTTACCAGCCAAAAGAAGGTAGGGACAATTATTACAGCAAGGAGACACACAATGATGAGGATCACAGCATACACAGGGACACCTGGTTTTTTCAAAGAAGGCTCCAGCCCAACACCTAAGAAATTAAAAAAGAGTTTTTTAAAAAAGAGGCAAACTTTAGCTCACACTGTTGTTGTTGTTAATTGCGAAGTCGTGTCCGACCCATCGTGACCCCATGGACAACGTTCCTCCAGGTCTTCCTGTCCTCTAACATCTTCTGGAGTCCATTTAAGCTCACACCTACTGCTTCAGTGACTCCATCCAGCCATCTCATTCTCTGTCGTCCCCTTCTTCTCTTGCCCTCAATCTGTATTATCCCAGAAAAAATTAAGCAGCCTGCCCCAGAGTTCCCAGTGGCTCCAGTGGGGAGCAAAGCCAGGAATTTGACACTCAGGAAGATCTGCAGCTCCTCCTTCCCATCTTCTACTTTCTTAGTAGTTTGCAAGCAACTCATCTGGACACTTTCCCAAGAGCCTGAATCTCTGGCTTCAACAAACTTGAACAAATGGAAGCTGTAGCCCAAAATGGGTTTAAGAGGACACTTGAGGCTTCCTCTTAAAACAAGATGTCCCCATGAAGTCCTACCTGCCACAGTAAAGGAAAACCGATCCACTTGAAAACTAGAGGAATCTAGGTAATCCTTTGGGTCAACTGAAAACGTCAGAGTCTGGAGGACATCCTTGTTGCTTGGCGCTGGTTGCTGGAATATCACATCTCCGTAACAAACGAGAGAACCCCCTCTACAATGGAAAGTCAAGGGAAAGACACGGCTAGAGAGGTTTGACCTGGTTCACACCTGATTATAAAACAAGAGTCCGCTCATCTCACAGTGAACAGCTAGGTTTATCCACTGCGCTAGCCCAGAATTTAGAAGTCACATTACCACTTAGTTCTCTGAGCTCAACCTTCATAGAGGTCTCCAAGGTGGCTGGTTTTAAGAAATAGCTATACCATTGGAGAACTTCTACTAGACTCTCCTTTGCGTCTAGGTAGGAGGAAGCCATTTCATCCCAGACTCAGTCCAGAGTAGAAGTTCTCCAAATAGGCTGGATGCCAGTATGGCCAAATCACTAACTGGCAAGCTGTAATCCAACCAAACAAGCAGACACTAAGCTGAAGTGGCCCATTCATATCTCAGCAACCGGCTATCTTAGTGATGGCGAACCTGTGGCACACGTGCCAGAGGCGGCACTCAGAGCCCTTTCTGTGGGCACGCGTGCTTTCGCCCCAGCCCTGCCTCTCCCTATGACCCCCCCTCCTCACTAGCAGCCCCCCTGGAGGAGAGTCGCCCCTGGGCACGACCGATGCGGAGCAGCGCAGTGCAGCCAAGAACAGGGCAGTGGGGCAGTGGGGACAAGACTCCGCCCTCACGCCCCATTGTGGGCAGATGATGCTGTGGGGGACGGGCGGAGGGTGTGGACGTCATGGCGCTGCAGGGCCGCCTGGGTGAACTGCTTCAGCAGGCCGTGGAGGCGGTGGGTGGCCCTGTGGGTGGGGGCAGAGCGGGGAGTGGATCAGGGGCAGGTGGGGGCGGCGGAGTTCTCTAAAAGGTTCGCCATCACTGGGCTATCTAATAAACAGGCTCTAAAAGAGAGACACTTCCGTTAACTTACGTGATGTTACGGATTGCCACTTGAAGGAGATTTTCATATTTGCCAAGTATACGTGCCAGCTGGAAAGCAAACGTTTTCACAAGGTGAGCCCAGATCAAAGCCCTCCCTAAGGCTTACCCATCAGTTTTTCAGCTGCTACACCACTCGTAATTCCCGCCTTGTATTAGTCCAGCTCCAACTTCCCAGGGGCCTCCAACCCTGGGAATTTTAAGACTTGTGGACTCCCAGAATTTCCCAGCCAGCCTAGAATTTTGTGGAATTCTGGGAGTTGAAGTCCATATGTCTTAAGGTTGCCAAGTGTGGAGGTCCCAGCCTTACACCAGGGGAACTTTAAAGGAAAAGAATTATCTTGAATTGCTTTTCCAGACGCTGAACCTCCCACGCATTTCCAAGCTAAGCTTAGGAAATCTACAGCTGCCAATTTAGCACTATGGCATATATTGCAGAGGTGAGAAACTTAAGAATCCTCCTTCACCAGAAAAACCTCCTCCCACTCAGTTCCCTGCTAAAATAAATAAAACTCTGCATAAACCTAAACAGGCACAGGAATCTCCAACATTCTTTTAATGTTCACAATAACAAACACCCAAAAGAGTTTTCCACACGCTTTGCAAAGGATGAATTTACATTTCCAGGAATCGTTTATCTCACCTACCGTATCAGAGAGATCCTTTGCAAGGTTCTGATGCTCTACAGAAGAACGGTCCAACATCTTCTTGTTGAACACTCTGTTGGTTATCAAGAAGGAAACTGGAAAGACCTGAAGACTGAGCTTTGAACCTAGAAGCGGAGAGTTGCACTTGAGGAAAAAGGGGCATCACAACTCCACCCAACCTCAGACCTAGCTACTGACCATTGATGGAGAGTGAAATGAGGTCCACGGAGATGTTTGAAAGGCCAATCAGTGCTTTGAGCATCCAGCCAACATCCACATGAGTATCGCTCTTGATGAAGATATTTCCATTTATATCAACATCCCCTTGGATATTTCTGCATGAGAGAAATGATGCTACCTTTGGTTGACGAAGACTTGACTTGCCTTCCAAGAGGTGTGAAAATTCAGCCTTTGATATCCATTTGAGGAGCAAAATATCTTTCGCTATTTCAAATGAACCCATGAAGCTGTCTTGGATTGGTCAAGGGTCCAGCCTGAAAAATGTCCAGACCACTGTTTTTGTCTGAGAATTGATCCTTCCCAGAAATTTGCTACGTACCTATGATCAACAAGGGAGATCAAATGAACTGCATATCGGGTTCCAAGCAGTAGTTTTATCTGTACGGGAAGAAATTACAGAGTCATAAATTCAGTTTGTAGACTTAAGGATTAACTCTGCGTCTCAACAGAAAAATACTTAAGACCTTTACACGCAAGTTCTTAATTTCTCATTCCTCCCAAAAATCCTAGAGCATACTCACAATTCATTAAGCTTAAGGTTTCCTGGCACAGAAAGTTATCTGAGATCTTAATTTGGAAGCAGCAGATCAAATATGGGTGAAACCTGCCCATTTAAATGGCTGGGCCATTGAATTTAACCAAGCAGGACTGGCTGAACTCATCCACAATGGGCCTATCTTCCATAAGGTGTTCCCCGTGCCTGAAGTCAAGGGCCTCAGTGTCTCCCATTACCTGGCTTTTCAGTCTAGCCAAGTGTTCTTGGACAAGGTCTTTCTTGTCATCAAAGGCTGATACGGACCCCAGTTCCAGGAGAGTGAAAGATACAGCCAAGTTCTCAGGTTCTAGATTTTTCAGGCTGAAACCTAGTGAAAAAAGAAGACAGTTCAAGGAAGCATGTCTAAAAGCAGAGGGATCTTCCTACTTCAAGTTAATTACCAATCTATCAATAATAATAATAGTAGTAGTAGTAAAGTTGGAAGGGACCTTGGAGGTCATCTAGTCCAACCCCCTGCTCAGGCAGGAAACCCTACACCATTTCGGACAAATGGCTGTCCAGTCTCTTCTTAAAAACTTCCAGTGTTGGAGCATTTACTGCTTCTGGAGGCAGGCTGTTCCACTCATTCTCACTGTCAGAAAGTTTCTCCTTAGTTCTAGGTTGCTTCTCTCCTTGATTAGTTTCCACCCATTGCTTCTTGTCCTGCCTTCAGATGCTTTGGAAAATAGCTTGATTCCCTCTTCTTTATGGCAGCCCCTGAGATATTGGAATACTACTATCGTGTCCCCCCTTATCCTTCTCTTCGTTAAACTAGACATACCCAATTCTAGCAACCGTTCCTTATATGTTTTAGCCTCCAGTCCCCTAATCATCTTTGTTGCTCTTCTCTGTACTCTTTCTAGAGTCTCAACATCTTTTTCAACAAATAAACTTCAGTCAGCAACTCCCTTCTTGCAGAAAGGCAATTAAGTTCCTTAACTAAGCCTATTGTTTATGTAAATGAAGACTCAATCATCCAGGCCAAAAGTATCTAAAAAGGTTGAATCATGGCAACTGGACTGAAGTTGACCAAAGCCCGTTGTCTGGTGACTTACCATTTGAGTGCAAAGATCTCACATCTATCCTCCAATCAAAAAAGGCATCTATTCTCCAGCTCTCAACTTGTGTCACAATTGTCCGTATGATGTCAGACGGGGTGGGAAGAAGGCCTGTTGCATGGAAGACCACCTGGCTCTCCACGATGACAGATCCATTCCTATGGGACAGAATTCAGGAGAACATCTACAGACCCTTCTGGCAAATGGGCTGGTCCAACCTTCACAACACCTTCCTAACAATTTAGAACAGTGGTTCTAAATTGCCAGGGGGCGATTTCATTTTTCAGGGGGGCGAAGGAACAAAAAGGCGGCGATATGGGGGTGATAGAGCGAGAAGTTTTCAGGACACTTTTGAGACTTTTTCGTACAGTGAATGGCTGTATATCTGTCGTACAAAAACATCAGATCACTCGCTATTAGTGGATTGAATTGTGTTTTCAAATGTTCCTCCAGCTAGCTTCAGTACAGAACGCTGTATATATATATAAATACGCATTGCTTATCTTCATGCGCGTTGCGCAGCAGCCTCTACCCATACAGTGGCGTGCCATTAGCCAGAATATGGGAGATATGGGGAAAAGACTGGAAATAAATTATTTGCATCGATATGTCCTGATGACAATTTTAAAGAAAACAGAAAAAGTGTTTGCATAAATTGAAGAATTATTTCCCATGTTGTGATTGAGAGGTTATGTTGGGGGAGGGGGGCGATGACAACTTCCTCATTGGCTCAAGGGGGCGATTCGTTCAAAAAGGTTAAGAACCACTGGTTTAGAACTCCAGGAATTGCCTGTCAGCCTTCCAGGATTTCTAGATGCAACCACCGGAAGGGTTCCAGGTTGTACAAAGCCATATTATAGTTCCATCTTAAACAGTGGTACCTTTGGGCAAAAAAAAACAACAAAAAAAACCCCAGTAAATCTCTGGAAAGAATACTCTCTGCATGGATCCCTCCATCTTTCGTGTTACATGGGCAGACGGGACTAGCGACAGGTTGGAATTAACCTTGATATTTTTCCAAACAATGTAAACTGAGTTGAATCTGCAATTGATCTGGTAAATTAATTTAGAACTTTCGTTCTAAGCATCCAGTTGGGGGAATTCCTCATAAAGGTAAAATCTATTCAGAAGAACCAATGAAAAAAGGACCACTGTTACAGCTGCACATGAGCACTTCTGAAGCTCAAGAGTCAATTCAGAGGCCTCCGTTTCAGAAACCAAGACAGGGCAAAGAACGGATCAAATCTCCCTACTAATGTTTCATACCCTTCTATCCTTAATTCCATGGGTCCAGTGGTGGGATTCAGCCGGTTCGCACCACTTCAGCAGAACCAGTAGCTAATTTTTTGTTGCCCAGGCCCGGAATGAACTTCTGGAAGCAGCAACCACACAGAGAACTGGTTATTCACATATTCGAATCCCACCACTGACCAGGGATCTCTTCCCGTCTAGAAACTGAGCGATATATTTGGCAGCGTTACTTACACGAAACGAAGAACCCTTGCTTGCAGAAAGTTCTCATAGGTAGACAACATCTTCTTTAACTGGAAGCAGAGCATTAAAATTGATTTATTGCTAAGGGGCAATTTTGCACAGAAGAACGTTAAGAACCTAGGAAGCTAGTAGAGAAAACTCCACATGGATAATCCATGGGTATTGCGTAATGTTCCTTTCCTTGTTCAACAGCCACCTTTGTGGCAATGGTGAATATAAAGTTCCACCAGACAAGATCAAGAAAGCAAAAGCTACAGAATGATCTCTTTAATGTTAGTCTTGGGGTAAAGAAAGACAGGGAAATTCAATGTCCAAACCTTGTTAGTAGCAAATTCATTAAGTTCTGAAGACTTGCCTTCAGAAGTTCTGGGTGCTCCATCACTGGAGGCTTTTAAGAAGAGACTGGACAGCCACTTGTCTGGAATGGTATAGTCTCCTGCTTGAACAGGGGGTTGGACTAGAAGACCTCCATTTCTAATCCTGGCATTCTATTAGATTTGTTAGCAGGGATGGGCAACTATGGCCCCTTTATGGCCTGTGGACTTCAACTCCCAGAATTCCTGAGCCAGCATGGTTGTAAAAGGGCCATAGCCATAAGTGCTCACCCAATTAAGAGAGCCTCTTGAAGATTTAAATTCTTTCTGTGCTTCTCAAAACCTGAGCTGAGACCCCATTTATAAGCTAAGCTGCTAATGGACATCCTATCTTTTTGATTATCTATGTATCCTCTCCCTTGTCCCAAAGGTGCTTTTTCAAGAGGCAACTGGACTTGGGTTTCCTGAGGGCACAGTCACTCCTCCAAGTGGCCTCAAGGACTCTCTGAAAGAAGGCAAATGACCAGCTGTCTGCAAGGAATATAAATCCTTCCATTCCCCACCATCCAGTCAGAGCTGAAGAAGCTTCTTGGAGGAGAAGCGAAACGTCTTCAAAGAAAAACAAGAAAGTCCAGTTGCCTCTTGAAAAAGCATCTTTGGGACAACCATGATCTGGATGACTGAGAAGTTCCATGTTCAGCCTCTCCCTTCCTCTGCATTCCCAGCCTGTGTTCATGCACAAAAGATGAGATCCAGTGGTGTGGTCTACATTTCCCTTGATACCTTGCCGTAAACACCCTATGATCTCATATCACCCCATATATAGCCCTTCCTTGCTTCCACACGCTAGTTCTGTTGATTACCTTCTCATAACCCCTGTACTGACCTTGACACACAAACAGACTGTTATTTATTCCTCAGCACCAAGGACCCCATCAGACTTATGTCATTTACTTCAGCCTTATCATTATTATGAACAGATGTGTCCCTCTCCAAAAGGGAGGATGAACTGATAAGACACCTGCCAAGAAAAGCAATCTCCCTGGAAATGTCCTTGGCAAGCATCTCCAGGTCCTAAACCAGATCACCTTCCTACATGAAAATCTATTTAAGCCAAGAGAAGTCAGGGATGGGACTTCAGAGTAGACCAGGAAGGTGCTACATTCCAGCTGGCACAAGACCAGGTCCATGCACAATCTTTTTCAGAGTCCCTGTCTGCAGAAAAGACACTTACGGAACCGTTATCTTATCATTTATATTAATAAAATTCTGGGGCTCTTTGTTCTACCTGGGTCTGTGGTCTTGAATCCTAAAAGACCTACAATCTCTGACAGTGGGAATTGTTACTGACAGCATCTTCCATATAAGAAAAGTTGCACAAAGCCAATATTCCAATTGAAGAAGAGAGATTACACGTTTCCACTCTTCGCAAATTTAGCTCAGTAGTCACAGCAAGTATCTTAAGGAGAAGGATCCAGAATCAACCTCTGGCAACTTTTGCTGATGGAATCCTGATATAGCAAGGAACTTCTTGGAGAACCTCTGCACAACCTATTATTGGAACCATAGTCCAATTTTGTACCCGATACCTATGTCTCCTTATCCACAAAGAAACTATGGATCCAGTTTTCATCCATAGATCAACGCTGTCTAGATTAGTGATTGGAAAAACAAAGGTCTGAAGATGTTCCCTAACTCTAGTTCTTTAAGAGTACTAAGCAATATCTCCAATAACCAGGACCATTTAGTATTGCAATCTGATTAAAATCCGGAGGATAATATGTCATCTACCTCAGTCTACCTACATTAGACTGGGGAGCATTGTTTCAGAGGTACATTAGACTGGGGAGCATTGTTTCAGAGGCCTACTTGCCTATTCCCACAATCTCTCTGATGCTTTTTAATATCTCCGCAGCTAGATCCTGAAGATCAGAAATTTTATCTTCCTGAAAACCCTTTTTTTTTATTTTGGGAATCCAGAGCTCTCAGGTGTACCTGGTTATCTGTCATACAAATATCGAGAATTCCGGCCATTTGCTATCTCCCAATTAACTGAGTGCCACTAAAGAACTATGAAAGCATATAGACCGAGTCAGCAGAGGAATACCCTAGCAATAACATCAACACTGGATTATATTCATAAAAAAAGGAAGCTTCTGGGATGGGATGGGAAGGGAAGGGAAGAAAATGCTTACCGTTAACTTAATTTCTCTTTCCAGTTTCTTGTAACTTTCAGAAGACTTGTTCATCAGTAAGTCTGTGTATTTTATTTTGATGAGACGAAACCACAAAGACAGAATGCGCACTGATGGAACAGTTGAAGCTGATTTGCCAAGGGTCAAATTCTCTTTCACTGACTGGTCCAACAAGGAGTTCGTGAATTTGGATCTGGGCTGCTGGGAAGTGTCATCGTTTTGGGCTCCAGTCACAATTTCTGTTCTGGGTAATGTGGTTGTATATCTCTCTTCTGATCTGGACACCTGGGCATCAGCAAGGGTCCCCTTCTTCTTGGGCTCCATTGTCCCCAAGATACTAATCAAAAACTTTTGAGTGAAGAACGGTTGGGAAGTCATACTTTGAGCTGATATATTCTGAGGTGGTATGAAGGTACTTGCTGAGCAAGAGAAGTTCCTACAAGTAGTTTTTGACTCAACTGGAAGAGTTCTTTGAAGGGTCCACAGCGTAGTTGTAGCAGAAAATATTGGAGGTGCCTGATTGGATTTGGTCTCCAGGACAGATGACGGATATGCAGGAACATCAGAATTACTGGACGTGGTGAATCTTGAGCTATGAATGGGCAAAGCTGTTCTGCCAATCGTTTGTATGTCATTTGCAGTGGAGGTACCTGTGACCTGGTGTCCCAATGCGTTCTTCAAGGTGACCACCATAGAAGAGCTACCTACGCCAACTCTAGGAACTTTTGTAGGTGAGGACAGTGTGATTCCACCCACTGTATTCCTTGACTCTAGAGAAAGTGGTGTGGCACTGAATGACATTATACTGCTAGCCATCGCCTGCCCTTTTCTAGCCAGGTGGCCCTCCGTAATGTTAATAAACGTTTTCAAAGTTGACTTGGGAACACTGATTCTAGAGAAGGGAAGGGAGACAACACTTGAGGATAAAGAGTGGTGGAATGGTGGTGTGACTGAAGATCTATCAGATTCTATCAAATCTGGAAGGGAAACTGGGGGATGAGATCGTGATGGACTGGAAAGCTTCTGTTCAACAGAAGGGCTACCAAAAGACTCCACTGCAGAACTAATGGTGGGTCCTTCTGGGAGATCAGTGTATGTCATTCCAGTTGAGGTTGCTCTCATTGGATGTAGAACATCTCCTTCATCTAAATATGGGTGTGACGGAACAGCAGAGTCATTTTTTGTGGTACCAAGACTAAATACCTTTGTTACCGAGAAATCTGTAATTGTCTCAGGCTCAGAAGACTCCTTTGATGTTTGCCATACCTTAGACATAGGAGTGGCAGGACTTAGGGGAGATAATGAAGTAGCTCCACTTCTCCTATTTGGCAAGTCATCTTCTGTCTGAACCCTAGTCAGTCCTCTGATTGAGTCAGTCTCCATAACAGTAAGAGGAGACTTTGAGGTAGGCATCTCCTTCACAGCTGCTGTGGTCTGTCTCTTTCTTCCATAATATTGAGTCACTAATGGCTTCCCATAACCAATAGCATGAGCTGTGGTTTCCAACAGATTTGTCTGAAGGGCAGCCTGAAGCCTAGTTTTAGCACTTCCAGAAAGCAGTGTGCTAAGTGGGGAAGATCTTGAAGTCTGATGAGTCAAGAAACCCACACCAACACTGCTTGCCTCCGTTTCACCTTCTAAGACAGGCCCATAGATGGAGCTCATTGTAGGACCAAGGTGGCGCTCAACTATGGAAGACGTGTTGTCCTTTGGTTTTACTAGTTCCACAAGGGAGCTATTCAGCATGTTATGAGAAACCAAGGAGACCTCATCTTCTTTTGAAGTTCCAAAATGTGGAGCTGTTGTAGAACTTCCAGTGTGCTCTTTCAACAGAGAACGCTGGGGTTCAAGAGAAGGATTGGCTTCCTTCAGAAGGCCAACAGCTACACTTGCAAAAGCAAGCTGTGTCATTCCAAGTGAAATCTGGTGCCTTGGGATCTCGGCTACAGAGGTAGGAGTGGTATCAGTAGAACCTGGTACCTGCTGACCCCTCTCATCATTAGCCACGTCAAGAGAAAGCTCCACTTCCCTAGTAGAGGTGTCCGGTGAGCTGGCATTTCTCAATGGCATCATAAAACTGACTTCCAGCTCTTGAGATCCTTGCAAGGTAGAATCTGCTGTCAGTCGTTGGGGCAAAGAACTCGCCACCATAACTAAGCTATGGATAGGTGGTGAGACTGTGACACTTTCTTCATCAGGATGGATGGCTGTGGACTTCTCCAAATCAAGGTGGGATCTACCAGTTGCAGTTGACTGAAGAAAAAACTCACGTGGCTCAAGCATTCGGGAAATGGGTTCAGGGGAAGACCAATTCATGCTCAGAGGTTCCATCTGCTGCCGAGTGGAAACCCCAGGGGTCTCTTCTGACTGCAATCTTGTCAAGGTTGAAGATGTAGGCATAACAACATGAGCGGTGGTTTCAACTGGGTACCTAGCAGAAACCCAAGGAGAGGAGAGAGGTTGAGTTACAGGACTGGTGACATCTATCAGGGATTTGGTAGCAGCCGGTTGAGCGGTATTGTCATCTTCGTTGTACGTGGTCATCTGGTCAAAGAGGACCTTTCTTGAGCTTGCCCCATGAGATGGGATAGAAGAGGGAACTGGTAAGCTATTGCTATGAGATTTGAAGAACTGAGAAGCATCGGAGCTCTGAGACGTTTCTTCCCTACTTGAGCGAAGAAATAACGTTCTTCCCTCAATGGTGCCAAGAGGTCCTGTCCCAGTGGAAGAAAGACTTGTACCCATTGACTGAACACTGGCCGATGTTGCGTAAGATCTAGTCCTCTCAAGGAAAGCATCCACATGGTGAGGAGGAGGAGGAGGAGGAGAGGTAGGAGGCTGGCCAGCCTTTCTCTGATTTATACCAGTTTGATTAGATAACCTACTAACAGACAAGTCTGTTTGTTGTTGGTCCCACTGGGTGTGTCCAAGATTTGTGGGTTTCTCAGGAAAAATGGTTGTGACACTGCCAGTTGGCCAACCGGTAGCAGAAACGGTATTTAAAAAGCTTTGATCTTCCTTGCTGGCGGCCGTGGTGAAGAAAAGCAGAAGAATGGTGAAAGGAATGGGCCACTTCGGTCCGTTGGCAACTCTGACCGAGTTGGTAAGAAGACATGAAATTCTTTTGTGGGCAAAGAGCAGGTCTGCAGGCTGAGGACCTGTCCCTTGACATCCTGTGGAAGAACTCAACATGGCTGCTTCACTGTGAAACAATAGGAAGAAAAGTGACTCGTGCAATTTTCCAGAATGTTATCTCTCCCCCCCCCCACGTATCAAACTGGGAACAATTAAAGAACAACTCCTAAACTCCCTTTTTGTGATCCCTTCCAAGCCAAATAAACCAATTTTGGGTTTGTTTTTTTCACAACACCCAAATGCATTTGGCTAGTTTGGGACCCATTATGTAGAAACCATTATTTACTGCAATTCCCAAGTATCCTAACTAGCAAGTTGTAGGATGTGTGTGAATGCGTAAGCCAGACATGTCAAACACAAGGCCTGGGGCCTGGATGCGGCCTGCAAAGTGGTTTCATGTGGTCCACGAAGCCATCCTGGAAACAGTGAGGGAACGGCCCCCTCTGCCTTGGCCCTGGCCCAGACCAGCTGGGAGCCAATGTACAATTTTGTGGTGGCCATCTATGCTGAAACGCATTCAGTCTTAGCTCCACAAGGCCGTCTGGAAACAGTGAGGAACCAGCCCCTGCCGTGTCGCCCCCGCCCCTGGGTGCATGCTAGGGAGGTGTCACCCTTTGTGAGGAATGAAGAAATGCACCATGCCTTGGTGCTTGCCCCAGTCCCACCCCTTTCTGCCAGAGACCCTCAGATCTGTCCCACTCCTGCCCAGGCCCCCACAGGCACCCTTGACGCAAACGATGTAGAGCTGGCCACGCCCAACCAGCAGGCCACACCCACTGAATCCATGGCCACCCAGTAGGCCACACCCACTCTGGCCACACCCACGCGGCCCCCTGAGGGCAACCACACTGCTGATGCGGCCCTCAATGAAATTGAGTTTGAGATCCCTGGCGTAAGCCAACTTCCATCACAATGACCAAGTTGAAATTTTATCATGGTTCGGGGACAGCAAACTTCTCTCCCTGAGGGGCCTTCAGGTTTGGCTGGACTGCAGCTCCCATCTTCCTCAGCCAGCATGACCAACAGCCTTGCAGACGTGAGCCCCAGAATTGAATCTTCTGAATTATGTAAGAAAGCCCCCCCCTTTTCCCCCCTCCAAAAAGGCTAGCCTTGGAAGCTAAACAGGGAGAGAACGGATTAATTCAGGGACAGGAGGCCAGTAAGAAACTCCCAGGTTTGGAGACCAGAATATAAAGTTAAAAAGTATCTCCTATAAAGATGAACCCACAAATTGCTTCCAAGCCAACTTGCAAGGCCAGGTCCTCAAGCCACTGAAGGTTGAACTTAACTACTACAAGAAGTCCCAAAGGTGCTCTTAAGACCTTTCGCTTCAAGAAAAATGCAAAACATCCCAAAGGTGCTCTTAAGACCTTTCGCTTCAAGAAAGAAAACATCTTCAAGAAAAAAGAAAAAATTCCAGTTGCCTTTTGAAAAAGCACCTTGTAGCCGTCTTCTCCATGAAAATGGAGCTCCTTTTTCAAGCCAAAGCCTGCTTCTAGCAGAACCCCAAATGTTGGCCAAAGTAACCTGAACTGTGGCTTAAGGGAAATTGGTTAAAACTGGTGGGAGGAAACTGGTTAAAACTGGTGGCAGCAGAGGAGCTGGCAACGCCCAGCTTCCCAAAATGTTCCCTTCCACAAAATCCTCACTCAAGTGTCCCAGTTGGGCTTGGGTAATATAGGGGTTTGTGGGTTAGAAAAAATCAACTTTTCCCCATGTTGGAACATTTACTGGGTTTGGAAGGGATGAGGCGAAAGCAACGTGCCCGGCAGCGCGCGGAGAGAGGAGAATCTGGAGAAGAGGTATCCAAGGCTTTTGGAGCCCACACGCGCCCTAGCGCGCGCGCCCGCGAACTCCCGAAACCGCTGGGCAAAATCACGCTGGGGGTTCCCGTCCCTGCACCCTCAGGCCCAGAGACACGCGCACGCCAATCCTTCGAGGCCCTTGCGCTAATCCGGAGCACCTGCTGAATGCATCCCAGTCTTGGCAGGCCCACCAAGCAGCTTTGCTCCAGAAGCGATTCGCCGCGCGCGCGGCGGACTGCAACAACTAGCCAACCAGCCAGCCAGCCAGCTAAATGGGAATTGTGGTCCCCAGGTCTTAGGAAAGGCTGCTTCTGGGGGGGAACCTTCCACCTTCCTTCCTCCCCCCCCCCCCAATGCATAAGAGGCGAGCTGAAACGCCCCGCACCTGGCCCCCCCTTTGCAGCCAAGCGCCTCCCCACGCTTACCTGCGACCTGGAGCGAGGCGAAGGCTCTTGCGCCCCTCCTAAACAACTAATTGCGAACGCTTTTGTGGGCGGGGCTCTCTCGGATTCCCAGGAGGCCAATTAGCACCTTTTAAGCGACAGAGGGGCGCCTCGGGCGGAGCTGGGGAGGGGGCAGGTGGCGGGGAGCTATCCAAACCAGGTTTATGTCTATGGAGATTCTCAGGATCCAGGTCATGGCTTTTCCCATAGATGCCTTTTCAGGAGGCAACTGGACTTTCTTTGCTTTTTCTTTAAAGACGTTTCACTTCTCATCCAAGAAGCTTCTTCAACTCCTACTAGAGGGTCAGAGAACCTTCCATTTCCCCATCCTCCAATCAAAAGCTGAAGAAGCTTCTTGGATGAGAAGTGAAACGCCTTCAAAGAAAAAAACAAGAAAATCCAGTTGCCTCCTGAAAAAGGACCTTTGGGACCAAACCAGGGTTGCCTTCTCTGAGCTGGCTGGTTGCAGGATCAAGGAAAGCAAAGCCCATTTTTGGAGCCTTTGTGTAGCACAGTGGTTCTCCACCTGTGGGTCGGGATCCCATTTGGGGTCAAATGACCATTTCATGGGAGTCGCCAAACAACGCAGTCCGCCATTTTGTTTCCCCCCTTTTCCTTAGCTGTGCTACTCCCTTTTATAAGCCAATAGAAGAGACTCTCTTGAATAGAGTCTAATTCTATTGGCTTTCAAAAGCCAACAGGAATTGTCCAGGCTGTCTCTGCCCTGCTGAGCCCGCCAAAAGTCCCATTCTGCAAACGGTGCTGCATCAGGTGAGTAGTCCTCTACTTACGACTGGTTGAGTAGTCCTCGACTTACAACCGGTTGGGGGTCGCGGCATTAAAAAGGTTGAGAACCACTGGTGTAGCAGGATTGCCAACTAACTCGCTGGGCACTTGCATCTATGCGTTTACCAAAATGACAATGAGTAGCACTCCGTGCCTCAAGTCAGTGCTTCACAAAGGTGGGTAAATCACCCCAAATTGCATAAGAGTGGCTTTGCTTTGTTTAAAAACACATGACCCCGTGACCCGTCACAACAGGGACATTTAAATGGATTTGACCTTTCAGGGTAAAAAAGACTTTTGGATCAGCTCTTAGGGCAATGAAGGAAAAAGTTAAGTAACTTAAGTCAGGGGTCCCCAACCCCCGGTCTGTGGAGCGGTACCGGTACTGGGCCGCGACATGCCAGCAATCAGGCCGCACAAACAAGTAAAGCCCCATCCACAGAATGCAGGCAGCACACAAAACCACGCATCCTTCAGTCCCCGGAAAAACCTCTCTCCAAGGAACTGGTCCTGGGGCACAAAAGATTGGGGACCTCTGCCTTAAGTCAAAGGCCCCAAACTTCTAAGCATGTGGCAGCCAGCCTTGCACCCTAATTCCACCCTCTGCTGAACGTTGAAGCTCAGCCTAAGGAAAGCTAACCATTGTTTCTCATATTTGGCCACTTGCCAGATCTGGAGATTTCAATCCCTAGAATGTTCATTAATGACCATCCTGGCTATGGAATTCTGGGATATGAAAGCCACACTCTTAGAAATTGCCAAGATTAGTGAACGGTGGTTTAAACTCAGTTTACCAGCAGGGTCCTCATCATACTGATAAAATTATTTGTAGCTCAGAATTGAACTTTGAGCTTGGTTATTTTCTTACAGACGTTTCATTACCAAACTAGGTAACATCATCAGTACTACAACGGGGTGAGGTTTGCTCTTCTTTTTATATATTAGTGGTTTGCCTTGTCAGTGTTGGTGGGTGTGATCCTGGTGGTTCTTTGATTAGGCTGTGGTTTACTGTTAGCTTGTCTGCACTGGTAGTTCCTTAATAGGGATATTGTTTACTTCTCATTTGTTGATCTAGTGCAGGGGTGTCAAACTGCTAGCCCATGACACATCACACACCCCTGATCTAGTGTTAATCTTGATGTTAATCTCTGCTCATCTGTGTGTTGATTTCTGGTAAGGGGTTTAGCTGTTTTAATTTCTTGTTTGGCTTTTATTTCTTTTTATTCTTCCTTTCTGCACCTTTTCTTTCTTTACTGCTTTTGCTCTCCATTAGTGTTCATGTTTATCTTCTTGGTAAAACTTAATTTAAAAGATTATATTCAAAAGGGAAGCTTGCTGTTATTTGTTTCGATGTTGACGCTCTTTCTGCTATAATCTAGACCAGTGTTTCTCAACCTTGACAATTTTAAGGCACGTGGACTTCAACTCTCAGAATTCCACAGCCAGCATTGCTGGCTGTGGAATTCTGGGAGTTGAAGTCGACGCGCCTTAAAATAGTCAAGGTTGAGAAACACTGATTCTAGACTGAAGAATCCAAAACAATCATTCCATTAAAAAAAATAATAAACAGAAGTGGAAACATGTTAAGAAACATTAAAACTCAGAGAGACAAAGAATCCCAAAACCCATTTAAAAGAAGTTAATCCAAAATTTTGTCACTCTTATATAAGCCAGCTAAGACATCCAGCAGTTTAGAAGAAAGCAAAGGGAAATACATCAAGTAGATCCTGGAATGTCTTTTTGGGAACCATTAAAAAAAAAAAACTCAAAAAACTTTAACAAAGATTGTGAGTTGATGAGAATCAATCTAAAGAAATTTAAAAGACCGGAGGGAAGAACAAGAAAGCTCCTCTTAAAAGGCTTTGTATGAGTTCTGGTTTGTTTCTGTGCTTAAGCAAATGGATTTTAAAAAAAATAATTACCCGGAATTCACCTAAATGCTTAATTGCCTTGTTTGGAATTAAGCAGACAAAGTTCTTACTGTAGTGGACATGTTAATAGCTGCAAGCAATTCCCTAGCAGGGGCATAAATCTTTTGTGAATGGCTATTAAGCTCTACTGATTGTATCTCCTAAGTTTCACTTTGACCTCATCATTTATTCTTCTTCCCTTTTGTTCCTCTCCTGGCGGCCAAGCCCAGAATACAACTACACTCACAATAATAGCATATGTATATGAAGATGTGGCCTGCAACCCACCATTAAGTGTTTAAAGCTGTCACGGGCTCAACAGGCCAACATAGCTACTCTTTGGAGGCATTTGGTAAATATTTTATGATTTATTTATTCATATCCCACCTTTATTATGTTTTGTTACTTTTATAAACATACCTAATACTTCTTCCTCCTTCTGTTCTCATCACAATAACCTTGTGAGGTTGGGCAGAGAGAAAGAGGGACTGGTCCAGCCACCCAGCCAGCTTTCCTTCTAAGGCAGGACTAGAACTCACTGTCGCCTGGTGATTGGCCCCAAATCACCCAGCTGGTTTCATGGCTAAAGTGGGACTAGAACGCACAGTGTCCTGATGATTGGCCCAGTCACCCAGCCAATGTTCATGCCTAAGAAGAGACTGGAACTCCTGATTTCTAGCATGGTGCCTTCACTTCTAGACCGAACTGGCTGGTTAGCCATCTCTTCCTGTGTCCATCTACCCATCCATCCATCAATAAGGAACACAAGAAGTGATGATAACAATACTTATCAAAGGTCAATTTAGTCCATACGTTATAGATTGGAAGAGACCTTGGATGTCACAGAGTCCTACCCCCTTGTCCAATGCAGAAATAGACGCTACAAGGTCCCATTTAAAGACCTCCAGCCAAGATGAGAACATCCTTCAAGGAAGCTTGTTCCACTGTTAAAACATTTCTAGCAGTTTTAGCAGTAGGGCCAGTATAATATAGTGGTTAAGGCATTAGAAAGCAGGAGACTCATGAGTTCTAGTCCTGCCTTAGGCATGAAAACTGACTGGGTGACTTTGGGCCAATCACCAGAAGATGGTGAGCTCTAGTCCCACCTTAGCATGAAAACTGGCTGGGTGACTTTGGGCCAATCACCAGGAGACGGTGAGTTCTAGTCCTGCCTTAGATATGAAAGCCAGTTGGGTGACTTTGGACCTATCACCAGGAGACGGTGAGTTCTAGTCCTGCCTTAGGTATGAAAGCCAGTTAGGTGACTTTGGACTAATCACCAGGAGACTGTGAGTTCTAGTCCTGCCTTAGGCATGAAAGCTGGCTGGGTGACTTTGGGCCAATCACCAGGAGACGGCGAGTTGTAGTCCCACCTGAGGCACGAAAGCCAGCTGGGTGACTTTGGGCCAGTCACTCTCTCTCTCTCAGTCCAACCAACCTCACAGGATTGTTGTGAGGAAAAATAGGAGGAGGAAGGAATATTAAGTATGTTCACCCACCTCGAGTTGTTTATAAAAAACAAATCAAGGCAGGCTATAAATAAAGGAATCAAATGATTACCATTAGCTTTGTTTCCTTGAACAATTCAGAGGTAGCCTTTTTTCAGAGGGAGTGGCTGGATGCCACTTCTGTGAATTCAGGAGGACCTGCTGAAGGAGCATTTTAATTTCCAAAGGTCAGAAGATGGAGACATTACCCACAAGAGGACCCAGAAACCTTTCTCTCTATTTTCGTAGCACCTTTGACAGGTTTTTCAAACCGACCGGCCCTTGACCACTGAGCTTTGCTTCCGAGAGAACAGTGGACGGAGACAGGAAGAGAAGTCACAAAGTCGCCACTTCCAAAAACAGCGGTCTTAATTTTAATGAAGCACCTCTTAAAAACTGCATCCTGACCAAAAGAAACAAAACAAAAAATTAAATAAAAAGGCAAAAAAATAGGCTCCCGGTTTATGTACAGCATTTACACATATTATGCATTTATTTCTCTTTGGCAGCACCGTACAATTTGTCTTAATTTTGCTTTCTCAGCTGGAAGGAGGGGGGTGAGAAAGGGAAGGACCGGCGGGCTCCTCACCCCATCCCTATCTGACTTGCGTGCTCAAGAGAGACACACACAACTTTGAAACAAGCAGGTAGAAAGACACAACATCCTCGGAGCAGAAAGGATCCAAACTGCACCGTCTCTACGTTCAAAATGAAAATTAGGCCTTCTCACGTTCTAACTTAGCACCGATTCTATTCTCTTGGTAAATTTGGCCACAATTGGTGGAATGGACACTTTCATCACCTGATGTTCAAAACGGTGCAAACAAGAGAGAACTATCTTCCAAAACTTGTCTCCAGCTCATTTCGGCTTTTTAGAAAGTAACCTCAGGCTGCTTTTAGAAATATTTCATTTTTTTTTCTTCTTCCCTGCCCTTCGTTTTTAATTCTCCACACTTCATTTCTCAGAAATGAACTTTTTTATTATTATTATTTTTGAGCTGAGGGGCTGCCAAGGAGCTTGACCTATCCAGGTTTTATCTTTCCCGTTCCTTTTTAAGACATGGTAAGCACTCGGAGCTTCCAAAAAAAAAGTCATGTAAACTGAAAATCTGCTACCCAGTATTGAAAGTTACCTTTACAAAAGTCATGGACAAAAAGTCTTAAACAGGAAGTCTTAAAAAAAAAATAACTGAAAAAGAAAGTCAACACACCCTTGAAACCAGCAGCAATTCCTTATAAAGGCAAAATAAATCACATTTCTAAAATGTGCCATATTTATGCCCCTCTGGTTGGGGAAATAGCACAGCCCTTCAAAAGTCAAACTGAAGCACAGAGGTGTGTGTGGTTTTTGTTTGTTTGTTTGTTTGTTTGTTTCACGGTTTAAATGTAAGAAGCTGGTCATGTCGTGTTTTAAAAATACAAGTTCTTTTTTTATAAATACGGGCAAAAGTGTTTGTTTTCTTTGAACTGCATTTCATCAAGTGGGGGGGGGGTTGGACTTAAGGCAGGGGTAGGCAACCTCGGCCCCTTCATGACTGGTGGACTTCAACTCCCAGAATTCCTGAGCCAGCATGGCTCAGCTTGGAAACCTCTCCCTTTCCCCTCAGCATGGCTGACTCGGGAATTCTGGGAGTTGAAGTCCACGAGTCATAAAAGAGCCGAGGCTGCCCACCCCTGACTTAAGGACTAAAAAATCCCTCAAGTTGAATTTTTATTTTTAAAAAAGGCCTACGCAGGTAATCCTTGAGTTCAGCGAGGCGCTTGTTAAATGACCTTTCTTTGCCTCAGTTAAGCCAAGCACGGCACTAAACGAATCATAGCATCACCAAGTGAATCCAGCCTTCTCAGCCAGCAAAGTCAACTGGGGAAGCTGGATTGACTTAACAGTTGCAGCGACTCATTATCCATGATGGCACAGAGGTGGTAAAAATCAGACATGACTCGACTTTGCTTTGCAATGCCAATTATGGCTTTCCCATAATGCCCTTGGACAAGCATCATTCTAAGACACTCTAGGAATTTGACCAACTCACAACCATCTGTTAACAAGCCAGAATTCCAGACAGAGGATGGGCCCACCAGGGAAATTTCTTGGGATGTCCTGAGAGGCCCATCCATGTAGAAGTTCTGTAAAATGTAGAATGAGATTCATATTTCACTTCTGGTGTCAGTCGGGACAATAGGAAGTTATTTTGTAAACCCAGCTGTGGTTCAAAACATTGTTCAGACAAACCCTGAAAAGTACTCCGTGTGTGGTTTCTGGAAGCGTGAGGGAGCCCTGAGGTGTTGAGTACCACAAGATGACTCTGTGAATCAGGTCCAAGTCACCTTAAGCCAACGTGTGTCGTGATGAAGCTGCGCCAGATGTAGGGAAACAGGTTTAATCTTGAAGCCTGTTGATAACGTTCAGCTGTGTTCCAGTCCGGCCGCCGGATGAATCAAATCGCCCCTCTCCCCTCTCAGTTTGACACACACACAAACACCCATCCACTCATTCATCCAGCTCCACCCAACCTTTCTTATAATCCTGCAGAATCTCGAGGTAATATTGCCACTCTGGCTCACTATCGTATTTCACCTCATAAACCGTCTTCAAGGGGTTTTTGTGGGGTTTGTGAACGCGAAGCACCACGCCCTGATACCAGGCCTCGGTCTTGTCCTTCTCCTCATACAAGTGCCTGATCCTCTTGCCAACAAGTTCTGGATACTCAGAGGCCACGGAAGAAACCTTGACACGACTGCATGTCCGCCGCTTGAAATGCTTTAGGAGGAGCGGTGGTGGGACTTTCTTCCTCTTCCTTGAAGGACCAAAAACCTGAGGTCCTTCAATGTCCTGAAGAGCGTTCTGGAATTGGATGTGAACCACAGATTTTCGGAGGTGAAGGATCTTGGAGGCCCTGGTTGTCCTCCTAGCAACCTTAGCAGTCAATTTAAGCTCAAGAGTCCTTGGCTGTTTATGGGATGGCCTCCTAGCACCAGAGCAAAGAGTGAGTCCCTTGGTCTCCAAGGCTGAGTCTTCCTTAGGAAGCACCTTCATGCCCTTTAGCACACAACCATGTTGGAGGGAAGGTGAGGAACATCCGGTAAGTGTTTCTTTATCTTCTGGTTGGGGAGTCTTGTAATGCGAGGACGTAGTCCCAAAACAAGCTGCCAATCCACATGTTTTGCCTTTGGTACTCTTCTCTCTAAAGTCCTGGTCAAGAGACTCTGTGGTTGCATCTGTTCCTAATGCCTCAACATCACTGTTTGGGATCAAGTTCGCAGGATCCCCTGGGAAAATGAAAAGCACAAGAACAATCAACTGGATGAGCATCTTCATTCAAAATATGCTGTCCACAATTTTGAGCCTAAACTCTTCTTCCAAAGGTTCAACAGATCTCCTCCGTTCTCCAACTAGTCTGATTCTGTTCTAAAGAGAGAATGGATCCCACTGGACAACTTCTAATACTTGATTCATTTCATTTGATGGATTAGAAGATTCTTGGGCTATGTCCCCATCCCAAAAGATCTCGTCATCCCAGAGTTGTGTCTTAACAAAACCAAGAACTCCAGATGTGTTGGAATTACAATTTCCAGAATTCCAGAAAAAAGGAAAGTATAATCTCAACACATGACACCAAATTCTCTAAGGTTGTCTTAATCAAGACATCAGATGTCTATTAACCCAGGGAGGTCAAGGACCAAAAAAAGATAAAATAAAGCCCCACTATTTGCTTATAAAATGCTCTCAGGCATGGCTTTGATTTGCAGAAGCATTGTGCACCATTTGACATGTCCTTCAGGAGCACCTTCAGCCCTGTCCAGCTATAATTGCCAACCTCCAAGGCCTTGTGTTTCCCACAAAAGGCATCTGTAATGGTATATGAGAAGGACCTTGGGAAACAGGATGAACAGACACAGCCCAGACAACTGTCTGATAAACAAAATCTGAGTGTGAAGGAGGGAGCTGGGTGGAGAAAGTGACTCAAAAGGGAACCTCCTTAGTTTGGGGACAGTAAAAGTGAAAAAAAAAAAAAAAAGGAAGGGTCCTGTACAGTTGCAAGACTGATGAGATAGGCAAGGACCATTAGGAATGCTAGCTCTATCTTTATTGTAAGGTTATTTTAACAGAATCTTGCAAGTCTGAAAGTAACATTTCTTCCCCCTTATTTTTAGAGTCGTAAGAAACGAGAGAGGGTCCCTTTTGAGATGTTAGCCCAGCTCCATTCCTTCTGCGGATCTAGCTGCCTCTTATCTGACCACTGTCTTGTCTGTGTCTCTTCCTCCTGTCTGCCAAGGTCATGTCCACATACCCTTACATCAACTGGTTTCGTCTACAAGATTGAAGTATTTAAGAGTCCACTAATGTAACCTTACAATAAAGACAAAACGAGTCGTCCTGGGTGATGCTTCCTGTCTGGGATAACATCTGTCTATCTTGCAAATCTGAAAGAACATCTCCCCCCCCCCATCTTATCAGTCTAAGAAACTAGGGAGGGTCTCTTTTGAGCTGTTTGCCTGGCTCCCTTCCTTCAGTGGGCCAATCTGCCTCTTCTATATCCATTGTCTAGTGTGCAGCTCTTCCTCCTGTCTCCCAAGGCCATTCCCACATACTATTGCAGCACCCGAGCAGCACAGCACAGCTATCTGCCAAGAAGCCTACCACCTCAACTTGTGCCCAAAGGCCTTCCACAACTCAAACTAAACCCAGCAGCAATGAGCAAGATGCACCCACACAAAGAACGGATACCTACTTGGAGGTGTGCAGGCGCGCCTGTGAACTTGGACCTGGAAAAAATAAAGGTGTCGAGAATCATCTGAAATGACACTGACTGGGGGGACAGTTGGTCAGAGCTAATGAAGGGGAGACTGTGAGCGTGTATGCATAGGTGTGCGTGTGTTGTGTGCAACAGTATCTAATGTTCCATCTTGCCCAATGCTGTCTACTGCCAGCTTTTCTAATGTAGCACCCTCCAGCTAAACTAAGACTAGAACTCCCAGGGTTTCCAGCCAAACAGCTGCTATCGGGATGCAACAGAGGGGGGAGAAAGATGTTGCTAAGTTACAGGTCTCAGTAGGTTCCTCACCTCTGAATTACAGGTAGTCCTCAACTTATGACCACAATTGGAACAGAAACTTGTCTCACCAAGCTCTGTGATTGTTAATTGAGTCATGCCTAATTTTTGCCATGGTCATTAAGAGGATCCAGCTCACTGACTTTGCACATCAGAAGTCCCCTGGGAAGGCTGCAAGTAGTAATCACCTGACCCCAGAACACTGCAACCATTGTAAATATATGCTGGTTGCCAAGCTCCCAAACTTTGATCACATGAACATACAGACACTGCAATGGTCATAAATGTGAGAATCACTTGTAAGTCCCTTTTTTTCAGCACCATCGTAACTTTGAGAATCCATTAAATAAATGGTCATAAGTCAGGGACTCTCTGTACATCAGAGCCATTTGCCCATAATACAGGCAGCCAATTCCATGCCTGCTTTGCCAACAGTCTCAGGGCATCCTCCCCTTTCGAGTTTAAGCACAGCCTACTCTCTTAAGATCCCTTTTCCTGATCCTCTCCCCATTTAGAAAGCAGAATCCCACCGATCTCTGCAGAGTTCACTGAATTCTCTCTTGGGCATTGACCCTGACCACTCTGTAAATTTTCTACCCACATCTATAGGGAAAACCAACCAAAGCTGTGTCCATGCAAGTGGGAAATTGCAGTGACTAAAGCCCAAGAAAGTCATCCTTTTTGCGAGACAGAGAAAAAGGAGAATAAGGCAAACATATATTCAGTTCAATTCTTACGTTTCTAAAGAAGGCCAATTGTCTGCCCTTACCAAGCTGCTGCTTGACACACTCGTGCCAATGAAGGGTCAAGAGGTCCAGGTAAATGTCCGGCAGCTGTTTCAAAGCCAGCAGCTTCAACATCCGAGAAGTACAGCTCTTAAGGTCCAAGTCCCTCAGTGCCTTCTCTTCAGACAAGGTGGTAGGACGCAGTTCCACCTTGTGGTCCTGCAAGACGTGGTCAACCGACACACCAGAAAGATTGGGGAAGAGTTCCTCCTTCACCACGTGAATAGGGATGAAAGTGGCGCCAGCTCGCATCACATGAGGAAAAGGACAGTTATTATACAGCGCAAATATCTCCAGTTGAGATTGCAACTTCTTGAGGAGCGCCTCTACATCGTTAAAGGCCAGCCAGATCTCTTTGCCCTTGGAGAGCTTGGGTCCTTCAGAGATCTTTGAACCATTTTTGGGCTTGGTGCAACTGATGGTCTTCTCTTGCAGTTCCACAGTGGACTCAGACATCTCCAACCATTCCTTGAGTTTGTCAGGGGAGCAGGTAGACACCGAACTAGAAATTATAGTGCAGACAGAGGTATGCAACGCAGTGAAATACTGCCTGGGTGATTTCTGCTGGCCAAGACGTTTTTCAGTGGTGGGATCCAGAACCTGGGTCTCTCTAAGGGCAGGAGAGCCAGGAGGGGCACTGGGAGGCAAGGATGTTGAAGCATTGGGCAGTTTAGCATTCAAGCATTGGATCTGCAAGATCAGAGTTTTGGATGGAGTCACAGTCTGGGGAAGGCTGGACCCAACCAAGGAGTTATTTTGCTGAGTAACCTGTGAGCCAGAATTTTTTGGGAGAGAGACATTCTTGACCCCAGAGGCAGCTTCAGCTGCATGTGCTTTTAGGATTTTGAATTTCTTGAACAGAAACGCTGCAGAGCTATGAAAATGTCTATTACTTCTAGAATCACCGTTGGCGGGCAGCACCAAGGCCTCTCCTTTTGCATGGGAGACAGAGCCCTGGCTGTTGGCTGCTTTTTCCTTCACTTCTTGACTTTTGATCTTTGGATCTCCATTGTCTGGAGCCTCAACTTTCTTGGGCAGCTGCTGAAGATCAAGTCTCTCTGCCAAGTCTTCCGTTTTAAAGCTGAGGTCCAACACATGGTCTTCATGAGTAAGTCTCTCAACTCTACCATTGGAACGATTGGCAGGGGCTGTTTGGCAAGACCCAAGATCAGTTGGATTCAAAAGCTTGACCTTGAAGCTTTGCCAAGGCTCAGCATAATCTCCAACTCCTTGTCCTATTGGGAGATTATTTTTATTCAAGTCAGCATCTCCAACTTTCGTTATTGTATTGCAAGTGCTTCCTTCCTCCCTAGGCAGATCCACCTTAGATTCTTCAATCGATCTTTTAGAGCCTGTCCAAGGCACAAATCCATTTTCCACACTCTTGTCTCTGCTTTTCGGAGGCAACTCCTCAGCTTGACAACTTTTAGTGACGTCCAGTTCCACCAAATCGGTAGAACCTTCTAAGTATGCTTGGTATGGAGCTAAGCTGAAGACATTGTTGATAACAGGCATAGGAGGAGAAGAAGTTGAGGGACCCTCATGCTGTTCATGGAGTCCCTTTGGTTGACGCTCTGGGGACCAATGTACATGAGGTATAGATTGGATGTTGGGAGCCTTCAGAACATTTTTGGGCAGGGATGGTTTGGAGTAGGGATGGTGGGAGATAATGGGACTATCAGAAATAATTATGCAGCCTCCCAATTCATTTTTGTGAGTGGTGATGCTCCTCTTCCTAGATTCATAAGTTAAGGAGACCTTGTGATGTTTCTCAGAAGATTCCTCCTCTTTCTCATTCAGCTTTTCTGGTGGGCAAAGATCCTTCTTGCAACCATTTCCCTCCATCTTTCCAACCCTGTCGTAACAATGAGACAGCCGGTCTACTTGATGAATGGAAGGGAAAGCTTGTAGACCAGAAGAATTTGTGCTGGCTTCTCTTGGAACACGGCTACTTTCACACCAGTCTGGGAGATCACCTCGGCTGCGCCAAGGACTACAAGCCGGAGGAGCCGAAACAGGAGTCTTTGGGGCACAGTCCATCTTGATCGTTGAGTTCTGTGGGTGCTCATGTTCTCTTGAAGAGCGAAGCTCTTCAAAGGGGGCCATTGGAGGCGGGCCCACAGCCTGGTAAAGGTAGCTCTCCAGATGGCCAGGATAATAGCTGCGAGAGGTTTGCTGAAAATATGACCCGGGGACCAGTTGGCCATCTTCACGGCTTGGAGACCCAAAACCTTTGCAGGCCGCCAAAGCAAAAACCGAGTTTGTTTTTTCGGCTTGCACGTAGCTCTGGTGATACAACAACATTTGTTCATGAGAAGTGAGGGGATACGATCCCAGAGGGTAGCATGGGGGTGATCGCTCCTGGTATGCCAGGTCCTGGGGACTCACCAGCAAGCTGGAAGGAGGAGGAGGAGGTGGTGGTGGTGGTGGCAGCCTGGACCACATGTGTTTGCTGGAATTGCTATCTGCTGGGGACTCAGAGATGCTTTTCTGACTTACAGAGGGATAGCTGGAATCCAAGGAAGAACCATTCTGTGCCCCCTGGCATTTCTCCAATGTCTTATGGTAAGGCAAGAAGGCAGCCGAGTGAACAGCGCCCTCTTTGGACCTTTTCTGAAACTGTACCATGCCATTCTCCGCCATCGAGGTTTTCTTGGACCCCCCTGTGCTGTAACCGCGACTCTCGGCACCAGTGGGCAAAACCGAGGACGGGGAAGACCATTCCAGACGCTTGGAGAAGTTCTCCATCTGCATTCGGAAGGTCAGAGCCCCTTTGGGGGAGTAGCCCGATTCTGCCCCGTATGGGTGGCTTCGGTAAACCGGTTTGGGGGCTGCCAAAGTGGAGCAAGCTGCAGGAGCTGGAGAGAGCTGCTGGGTTGGGTATCCCTGAATCCAACCTTGCTGGATCACCCCTGTGTGACCCACATAGCTGGCCCACTGCTCTCGGTTGATACATTCGTTGACCTTCTCAGAACTTAGAAGTCTCTGACGCGATTTTAAACTTTCCATTTCGGGCTGGTAGTTAGCTTTCTCTGTCCTTGGAGACTGGCCGGGCGCACCTTCCGGGCAATGGCTGTAGGTCTCAGCAGCCGACCAGTGAGATAAAGTTTTGGGCGCTTCGTGGCACTGGAGTGGGAAAGTAAAGTAGGAGCCTTTGTAACTGTAATGGTCATTCGTGGGGAGGTCGGGCAGCCTGCTCGACCGGCAGAAACCCATTGGGAGGACGTGGGTTGGGTCCATCTCCAGTCGAGGGAGCTTGCTGTAACTCATGGCGCTCACTGCCTCCAGGACCCGCTTCTCCGCCATTGGTAGATGCTTTCTGGCGAACGGGCTGGGCTAGGAAACGGAGCAGTCACTTGGGTTGTTCTGAAACACAAGACAAAGGGGGGAAAAAATCAGCCTTCACAACTTCCCCAGTTAATTGTTATAAAAATATCTCATACTTTGCAGGATCCAATCTGGGTGGGTCACCAGGACTAGAAGTTTCGTCTTCCATGCTTTGGGACTCCTGCTGGAGCTCATCCTCAGGGGGCTTCTCTCTGCCACAGTGTGTGGTTTGAGCTATTCTATACATAGTATTTATGCAGTGCCTGATTGTGTGTGTGGCTTTTAGGTATTGATGGGGCCGGCTGTTACGTCATTGGCTTATGCTGCCAAGTCCTTAGCTCCTAAGTACCTGATAAGCTGGTGTACTCTTATTGATTGATGAGGCCACCGTTTCCCAAGCTTCAATCATTTCCCTGGCTGTTTTTGTACCTATCAGCCAACAATCTTAGTAGCTGAGAAACTGAATATATGTCCTTGTTCATTACAACGTGGTGCCTGCAACCAGGCACCACATAAATATTAGGCATAGAGTAGCCCAAAGTGTACATTCTGGTGAGAGAGTAGTTGCCTGAGGATGGGCTAAACCTCTGGTCCTGGTGACTGATCCAGACTGGCTCCTGCAACATTATCCTGGGACACATATATTCGCCTTCATTCAATATCATACTTTGTTTTCACTTTTTTTCCCTCTTTGAACTTATGACAGACTCCTAAAAGCTACTTACGGCCCATTTTTCAATGTTACAATACCTGCAAACACATGCATACACAGGATTGCCTTTTGGGCTCCTGGCCACCACCCCAAAAGCAAGGGAGAATTTATTTTCCAATCTCCCAGACCAGACATGTCAAACACAAGGCCTGGGGGCCAGACGCGGCCCGCGAAGTGGTTTCACGTGGCCCATGAAGCCATCCTGGAAACAGTGAGGGAACGGCCCCCGCTGCCTTGGCCCTGGCCTAGGCCAGCCAGGAGCCAATGTACAATTTTGTGGTGGCCATCTATGCTGAAACGCATTCAGTCTTAGCTCCACAAGGCCGTCTAGAAACAGCGAGGAACCAGCCCCTGCCGCGTCACCCCCCCCCTGGGTGCATGCTGGGGAGGTGTCACCCTTTGTGAGGAATGAAGAAATGGACCATGCCTTGGCTCTTGCCCCTGGTCCCACCCCCTTCTGCCAGAGACCCTCAGATCTGTCCCACTCCTGCCCAGGCCCCCACAGGCACCCTTGACGCAAACGATGAAGAGCTGGCCCACCCAGTAGGCCACACCCACTCCATCCACACCCACCTTGGCCACACACACCCGCCTCCCCAAGGGCAACCGCAATGCTGATGCGGCCCTCAATGAAATTGAGTTTGACACCCCTGTCCCAGACTGCATACAACACAAGCAAGGTAATCCAAAATCCCTCAGCCACTCTGGCTGAGGCAGATGGGAATTGAAGTCCAAAGCACTGGAGGAAAGGATAATGTTCGTCCTTGGAACAATGCTCAACTTTGGGTGATGCTTGGATAGACTCCACCCAGTTTTCTTGGCAAGAATACCAAAGCATTCACCATGTGTAAGTATTAAATGTTGAAACAAGAGAAATTTTGGTTACTAAATTTAAGATGTTTGGAAATTACCAGAAAATAAGAATATGATATTGTATTATTAATTGGTTGATGTAAGATGGTGAGAATTCACATAGGTAAGTCGTGTATCCTGAACATTAGATCTTGTGATGAATTGTGATAAAGGGAATTGGGGTTATTTAAAATTTGGAAATATAAATATTAAACGTTAAATTTAAATATTAATGGGAAACTAAAAATCGGGGAAAATGAACCAGGACATTGATTGTCTAAAAAGGTTGAATGTTAAAACAACTAGGATATGTATAAACAAAAATTATTGATAAAGGTAAGAAAGTTATTTTTATGTAATCAATAGAATAAGAATTGTATTAATTTAAATATGAGACAGTAAATACCCAGGGGAAAAGAGGGGAAATATTTAATGTAATAGTTTGAGATCTGTACTAAAATTATCTGTTACTGAATTATTGACCAACTCAGCCGCCACGTTGCTTTTCAAATATTTAAATGTAAAATTAGAAAACAATAAAATTTTCTCCAAAAAAAAAAGATTTTATTTTTTAAAAACATTCTCTGAGTAGCCTACAGGAAATGGGAGTTTCCTGGTGGTCTTCCATCCAGATGGCTAAAACAGATAGCACAATATGGATTTCCTCAGTTTCAACCCTCCTTCCGTTTCCCTCGGGGGTGGGGGGGGAATTACATAAAAGGGGAAGAGTAGCAGAGAGCAGCTTACAATCCATGGGGGATTTGGCAGAACAACACTTTGATTCTACTGGCTATTGGTCCAAGCACAGCTAGTCCTCAATGTACGACCACAATTGAATCCAAAATATTTGTTATTTAAGCGAATGTTGTCCCATGTTATGACATTTCTTGCTGCAGTTGTTACGCGAATCACTGCAGTTGTTAAGTTAGTAACCTGGTTGTTAAATGAATCCAGCTTCCCCCCTGGACTTTGTTTGTCGGAAAGTGACAAAAGGGGATCACGTGACCCAACCGTCATAAGTACAAGTCAGTTGCCAAGCATTCTAATTTTGATCTATTCTATTCCATTCCATTCCGTTCCGTTCCATTCCATTCCATTCTTCACTTATTCTATTCTGTTCTATTCTATTCTATTATGAGCCAGCCGTGTGCTGCAGCTGCCAAAAAAGCCAACTCAGTGCTGGGTTGCATTAACAGAGGGATAGAATCAAGATCACGTGAAGTGTTAATACCACTTTACAAGGCCTTGGTGAGGCCACACTTGGAATACTGCATCCAGTTTTGGTCACCACGATGTAAAAAAGATGTTGAGACTCTGGAAAGAGTGCAGAGAAGAGCAACAAAGATGGTCACCGGACCATGGGGAGGCTGCAAAGGGCGTTAAGTGTGGAAAACGGTCATAAGTCACTTTTGTCAGTGCCGTTGTACCTTCAAACGGTCACTAAGTGAACTGTTGTAAGTGGAGGACTATCTTTATGGCCAAAATTAACCGTCCTCACAGCGTTCCCCGCTACACGGTGGCGTGCCTTAACGTAAGAAATCAGAAAATCCGTACAGAGTCTAACCAAAAGAAACAGTCCCACCCACCCCCCAGCTCAGCACGGGACTTCTTGGAAAGTCTTCAGAATGATTAGTAATGAAGTTATTTTTGGTTTCTTGGCTTCTTAGAAACTGCCAAGTCAGTAGAAAGGGAGAGAAGAGGTTATGAGTCATGTGTTACCAAGGAGCATGTCCGCTGAGCCACGAAAAGTTAGGCTGGATCTCTGCAAATGTGTCCTTCTACCATCTCACCCCAAGATCTCCCAGGAAATCCTGCCTGGATTCCTGGCCTGAGCCTAACAGGAAGGGAGATAATAATAGTAGTAGTAGTAGTAGTAATAGCAGTAGTAGTAATAATAATAATAATAATAATAATAATAATAATAATAATAATAATAATAATAATAATAATAAAGTTGGAAGGGACCTTGGAGGTCATCTAGTCCAGGCCTTTTCAACCTTTTCACCCATTGTACCACTTTTAGTATATGGCAATATCCGAGTACCACCAGTCGCCTAGCAAGTGTCAAAAACTTGATGACAAAAAAAAAAAGGAAAAAAGTGATGAAGTACAGGTAGTCCTCGACTTACGACAGTTCACTTAATGACTATTCGAAGTTACAATGGCACTGAAAAAAGTGCCCCCCAAGCCACAGCCGAGCAAGACACCTGCCTGCCCACCCGGCGGTGCTCTTCCTCCTATCCGAGGTTTCTGTTGTTGTGAGCATTTCTGTTGAGGATTAGCAGTGGGGGTGGGATGGAGGGGTGTTTGTTTGGTTTTTATCCCCCCCCCCGTCTGAGGGGTGGTTGCAGCAGGTTTTGGTCACTTCACCTGACCCTGGGACACTCTGACCGTCATAAATATGAATCAGTTGCCAAGCATCTGAATGTAAATCACAAGACCCTGGAGAGGCTGCAACATTCCAGCTGAACGGCGCTTCTTCTGGGCTCAGCAGAAGCACCAGGATCAGGCCGAGCTCCACCTGATGCTGATCCTGGAGCTTCCACTGAGCCCTGACAGTCCTGCAGCTCCAGCCATCTCTCACTTAGGCTTGTGCAGTGCTGCCACTGGTTCAGCTCATTCCCTTCCCCCGCTACCCCTTTTCTAGGATGGTCGCGTACCACCTGCCAGGTGCCAATGTACCATTGGTGGTACCCTATACCATTTCAGACCCTATACCATTTCAGACAAATGGCTGTCCAGTCTGTTCTTAAAAACTTCCAGTGTTGGAGCATTCACCGCTTCTGGAGGCAGGTTGTTCCAGTGGTTAATTGTTTTACCTGTCAGGAAGTTTCTCCTTAGTTCCAGGTAGCTTCTCTCCTTGGTTAGTTTCCATCTGTTGCTCCTTGTCCTGCCTTCAGGCGCTTTGGAGAATAGCTTGACTCCCTCTTCTTTGGGGCAGCTCCTGAGATACTGGAAGACTGCTATCATGTCCCCCCTGGTCATTCTCTTCATTAAACTAGATATACCCAATTCCATTCAACCGTTCCTTGTATGTTTTAGCCTCCAGTCCCCTAATCATCTTTGTTGCTCTTCTCTGGACTCTTTCTAGTTTGCTATCTATACCTCCATAAATAGATTTATTCCTGCTGAATGAAGTTATAGAGATCGCCTGGCTGTGTTTTTAGATGTCTCCAGCTCCTTCCTTGCCCCAGGGATGGGAAAGATTGAGAAGCTAATGAACTACAATTCCCAAGATCCCTCACTATTGGCGATGCGGGTTGGGATTGCTGAGAAGTGTAGTGTGGCAACATCTGGAAGGTCAGATATTCTGCCTGAGCAGCGAGGGAAGGGTTAAACACCTTTTTAGGTCACAATCTGGCCCAGATTCACACACAAGTCAGAGCTGCTACTTATAGGGAAAACAGAAAGCTGTCCAGCCATAGAGCATGTTGGCTGGGGAATTCTGGGAGTTGAAATCTACACATTTTAAAGT